GAAATATCACAAGGTTTCTAAATATAATATTAATATTAGCTAAAGAGACACATTTAGGGCGCTTTACATTAACAGCATACTTAATTATTACTTTCCATTCAATTTTCTAAACTAAAGTCAACCCCAATGATTTAACCAATTTTATAAAAAAGATGCTCGTTATTCATAAACCTAAATTTTCCTAATAAGCGCCCAAAAACAAATCAATGGTTCTACTTTGGTCACCAAGTAACTATTTAATTTACCATTATTTGCCATTTACGGTCACTTGAAGTGCCGTGAATGGGTTAAGAATAAAAACTACAGTATTTCGACATAACATACTGATTAAATATCACTAGTGGTTCCTACAACATTTCGAAGTGGATATCAGGCATTCATTGTACAAATTCTGTTAGTGTAATTAAAAAAAAAACTTACATTTGGTCAGCGAATAGAAGAGTTTGCGAGAAAAGACTCCTACGCAGTTTAAGTTACACGTTTATGCACACGCGGGTCTCAATGCGTTAACTGGAGGAGAAAGCCATAAGGTATTAAGTCGCCTTTACACTCTCCACGTGTGTTTAAACGAACAGTCAGCGTCAAGTAGTTCGTGACACCCAAAGTGGCGAAAATGACAACACCAAATTTTAACAAAGACGGGTTGCAAACATTTTGGTAACTTTTGGTTACTTTTCAGGAATTTTTGACGCTGGCTGTACTTATATGGTGCTAATTTCGACTACATTGATATGCAATATATTGCCAGAAGTGGACATTCCCTCTCAAATCACTCCTGAACTGCGCTTACCCTAAATACCCTGAGCTTGGGGGAGCTTACTAGTTATAAAGCTCTACAAAAGCCCCAGACATTTAACCTATAAGTTCAAAAGTGTACAGTTACGTACGAAAGTTACAACGGCTTACTTTAGAAAAAGGCACGAAATCTATCGAGCCACTTATGCAGACATCATACTAGCAACATTATTCTAATTGAGGCATTTAAAAGATAGCAACACTACAGTCTTTAATAGAATCGGCGATTGAGGCATCGCGGGGCAGGAGAGATTAAGCTAAGCAACGCCTAAACTATTTTCCGATCTTTCCGTCTCTTTCGAACATAGCAATATCCTGCACCTAGAGAGGACAAAAGAGTCATGAATACGGACATCAGCTTACAGAATAGCCCACCTAGTGGGTAACCACGTGACTATTATAACCCTTCCCGTACCTCAAGCACCGACTTGACTGACATTTAAGTCGACCTAATTGAAACTTACTAATTCAAAATGTATACGGTTACAGATTTTCTGTTGGTCATTTGCTCAACTATCTTTAATTTTTAGTTTACTGTCATTTATATGTTTGAAGTTGATAGCACAAAGTTATTATACAAAGTTAGGCAAAGGCTCTTTCTAGTTTAGAGAGAGTAGCGCAAGACGATCCCGATGATCAAGAGGAGATCCATCCATTTCCAATCGCCACCAGATCCCTCCTTACATGAACCTCAATAGCAGCTTCAAGCACCAAGACCGCACAATCCGCCGTTGTAACTTAAACCTTGTCCACATGTCCACTAGCCTACGGGTCGTTGACCCCGGCTCACATTTCCTCGGTGAGGTCGTTGACCGTGCCACTGGAGGAGGCGCGCGGCTCCGTGTCCCCTAGACTGCCGTAGGTCGCGCCGCCCCGTCTTGACACTCGCCAACGGCCCCTACGCCGTGTTATGCCTAGACGAAAGTCATTTGTTCTCACCAGTTCCAGCCAGGCGATTCAGAACCTTAGCTCAATGAGGTATATCGTATTTGCCCTCACCAGTTGGCGCCACTGTAGAGGTCCTGTCACTCGCTATAGTCTGGTCTGCGAACACGTATAATTTTGTCCAATGACCCCAAGTTACCCATCCTTATCGCTCGCGCGTAATTATGTTGCTGTCGCGCTCGCACACTCACTGCGGGCGCCCTTCGCACAGTCGCGACAGCAATATAATTACGCGCGAGCGATAAGGATGGGTAGCTTGAAGTCTTTGGTCAAAATTCTACGTGCTCACAGACCGGGCTTTAGTGGCTAAGACAGTCGCCCCAACTCATGACGCTGAAGCGATAGGAACACTATCGTAATGGCACTCACTAGAGTCTAGAGTGGCGCCACTGTAGGGCAAGCTCCTGTCGCTCGCCAGTGGCGCCGACTGGTGATCGAAAATACGATACCCCTCATTGTCACACGATTCGAGAGGTTCTGAATCGCACTGTTCTGTGTTCTTTGTGATTGCTTTTGATGAGCGCTTTCAAGAGAAGTCCAATGATGTTTCTTGTATCTCCAAAAAAAATATTACACCTCGAATATTTAACGAAAAAAGACCTTGATTAATTAAAAATACACACTTAGGCGTGTATTAAATAGTTTTTGATTGGACTATTGATTAACAATTAGACAGACATTATTTATATGGAACTCGGAGTAGCGCCACCTGGCGGTACGTAGACTCATTCTTTAAGACACTGTCTAAACGCGCCAATCAAAAATAATCATGTGAAACTGGCATACTAAAAACTACTCTGCTAAACGACTTTGAAGTGTCACATCTAACTGTCTCTATCACTCATGTCGGATAAGAGAGAGACAGATATCGTTTGCAGAGTAGGACCTTACATTGTTTAGGTGATGGTAGCATGCGTGGAGACACAAATATAGATTGCCACTCATGTGTGTGAAAAAGAACAAATCTACTATTTTTAAGCTACACTTACTTATTATCTGAAATATGAATCAAAGGAATCGCCATCAACTTCTTATTTAAGTTTCAACTACTTTTTAACTTTTTCGTCAAATTAAATTAACTTTTTCTCTTAATTTACTGTCACAACAAGGAGGCAATCAGACAAAATTTCTGAATTCATAAGAGTATTGGCATTTACACCACTCTTTACTGATTAATTTGTTTATTTATACCATGAGTGTCAATCCAACCTTTTATGTTTGTCAATAGGCCATGCATACGAGTCCACTGGACAATGATGCTGTCCACTGGGCGATGATGTATTTGTTACATACGACATGTAGTCATGCCAGAAGCTGATGATGATAACACTTGCATGATGTTAAAGCGTTAGTCACTAGGCCCTTTAGATCTGACCACTATCTGAGCTATTTCTCTAGTTTTTAACTGTATCCAACTACGTCATTTAGTTCACAGGATTTTATATCAGTCCCCCTAGACAGAGTAACGTTCGTGACAGTTGTACTATCGAAATCGCTTCAAGGAACGAGGATTTTGGAATTACAACGATCACGTTCGTAGCGTTTGTCTAGGGATGTTACTCTATATTTTACAGCAATGGTCTATTTCTTAGTAGTCAATCGCAATTATAAGTGCACTTAAAAATCCACTCAATAATTCAAGGAATTGAATCATCTATTATTTACATCTTTTGTCTTCTGTGATGTCCATGGCAATAAATGTTTCTTTCTTTCTTTCTTTCATCTAATAAGACGTTAGAATTTTAAGTAATGATACTCTATAATCTTTTTAAAGGTGAAATTATTCACCTAATCTAAACTAGCACAATCGGCTCTATAAAAAGACAGTACCTAGTGACACTAGGTTTTATTTTTTTTTATCTAAGATTATCAAAAAGCGAGAATACTTTTAAATTTTCTCAGTCACAAGTCCGTCAAAGTTTCATACCTTAACAATGCGTATTTACTTTTGCAAAAACAATTTATCTTTTTTAAACCCATCGATTGAGTCATGAAAATCATATGGAACTTGTAATATCTAATCAATAAGCCGAATGAGTCACATTACAAAAGCATTATACCAGTATCGCCAATCTTATCGATAAAATGTATCAATATCGGCACTCGATAAGCCGTGGCCTTGCGCTGGCCAACTCTAGTTAGTCTATTGCAGCCTTCCACACACTACAGTGATATTGCCGTGAAGTGTCGTTTGGCTAGAAGACAAGAGTTGCCAAATTGATACGTGTATTGAATAAAGAAAGAAAAAGTGTTTAATTAGTCCAAAATCCTTATTATTGGTGCTATAGGAACGTCTAGTTAGATAGTGCTGTTTAGAATTTCATGTTGCTATGTGTGGTGTATAATAAAAATTGTCTATCTATTGGTCTTTTATTTCCGATTCTGCAAACGTGAGGTGATATAATTTAACATCCAAAGTTTATAAATATTTGTCTAACAATGTAGTAGAAAAACCATTTTTCTGACGACAAATACAAGTGATTATATCCACGAGGTTACGATAAGTTAGGTTACTTTAAATTTTAAGTCGAATCAAGCTCAAACTTAGATTCTGCAAGAAGTGTTTAGAACTTCCGTATTTTTATCTCGGTGCTGTTACCAAAACATTTTGGCCGGCGGATATTTTAGGATTATCACATTAAAATATTAAGAGCGACGTTTTGGCAATTTGCGTTGCTCATTTCATTCTCTTCAGGCACAAAAAACAACGGCTGGCTGATCAGCTTTTTAACTCGTGTTTTCAAATACACGTATCAACTTATTCAATTTACAAAACTCGTCTACTAGCCATGGTGCACTTTGAAAATGCATTTTTGGTGTTATTTGTAAACAAAAAAGAAGCATTTCTTTTACAAATCATCAAATAAAAATGCATTTTCATATCCAATTAGTCTACCTAAGTATTCTCTGATGCAATTTTGTGGCTGTGACTTTTGCTATTCTAATTTAAATTGTGATCTTACAAAGTTTCCTTACTTCGGTTTGAGTTGGACTCAGAAGCTCCTTTGGGCATAGAGAAAAGCGTTACATTAGTTAATACACCTTAATTATAATCTACTGTTGTACATTGGACCTTTATTCTAGCTCTATGAAATTGATGATGATTGCGAGTAATGGATGACCAAGCGAGTATTCATGCTACGGAGATGCGTACCTGAAATGATCGGTGTCCAAACATGGGTGCACTACAACTAAAAAATAAAACAAAACAAAATTAAAAAAACATAATTTATTTCTATTACATTGTAATTATCATTCTGTCGGTACATGTGACATAAAAAGCCTTTACCTTTGGATTAAAAAAGCTATCGTTTCCCTCTAAATTAAGTACTAACTTTAAGTAGAGATTCCAGTGTTTGTGATTACATTTTTGCTATTGCATACTGAAATATTATCTAAACAATTAGATTGCATTATATCATTAATAGGAACATAGAGGGCGCCTACTAAAATAATAAATCTCTTTGAGAAATCACAAAGAATAATACGGATAAAATTACACAAAAATAAAATTGAAAACGAAACAAGGCTATGACTATGTTTGTTCTTATTTTTCTGGATTTTCTACAGGCGTACCTGCAAGAACAGACGGCCCCTGTATTGGACAGTTGGTTGGAGCGATACCGCCACCGTCTCTCACCAGAATTAGTAGTTTCCACCCATTCCGTTAGTCAAGGGAATATATTAAATATTAAATAGTAATACAATGTGCACGTATATACGACTAAGTTTGCGCGAAGCCGACTTGACACGTTTTATTGCTATGCGTTGTAGTGTAAAGCGAATTTAGAGTATGCGTGAAAATATTTTGATCAATGGCCTACAAATTATAGTGAAAATAAGTTAGTTTGAAAATAAATGGCATTTTTAACCAACATATAAATTGTCTTTCGTGTGCTGTCTGTGTTCGAACTATTAAAATGTTTTATTTAGAAACTGAATCATTATAATCTTTACCTAAGCCCTTCTAAGTCTTTAATCTGTTTTTATAGTGCGACGAAATAATCTCAAGACACCACTATTCGGTGCCATATTGTTAAGACTTGGTGGTTCAATAATTATCGATTGGTGTAATGATTAATGTTTGATCATTGGTGGTATGTTACTTATAACGCGGTCGCATTAAGAAATAAAACACTCAAGTCGATTTCCCGCAATATTTTAATCCTAAGATTACTACAACATAAATATAACCTAACACCTAGCATTCGCACAAATAAATATATTTCATTTAAATATTAAGTTGATACATTTCCATTAAATACAATACTTTTGTTGGAATATTTGAGGGTACTACAATAATTTGTTTGCCTCATTAAACATTTAGCTAAGTAGCTATAGAAAAAAGTGCCGAGAAGTGACAAAAAATCTAGAAATTACATTGCAACATCCACTTTATTGTCATGCCTTCATTTGGAGTGTTGATTAAGTACGGTCTTCGTATAAGTACTGTAATATCTAAGTACAAAAAGGTGCGCAAATAAGGCAGTGACAAGCAGCCACACAAAAGAATCAACAATAAATAAAAATAAAATTTAAATTCGAAAAATGATAGGAATGATCGTCGCCTCACAACTAAACACAAAACGATCGGTACATGCAAATTACAATAATAAAAATATTCGTGTTTTTATACAAAAGGGGTGTCCCAAAAACCAACCATATTGGTTAGAAACCGTGCCCTCAATAGACTTGCAACTAATGACTTTAAATAGGATTTCTAAATTTAAATCACATACAATTCCATTAAAATTCTTGCTAAACACGCGTCACTAATTGCAAATCTCATACAATAAATGCTTTCATCAATATATTTGGGAAATGAACCAGATTCCCACACAGCCATTTTTGTGACGATCGATTTCAACACCACGCTGCATTGTGAAGTAGGCGGCAGTGTTTAAATCATCAAGATCACAAAAAAAATGTATGTTATTTTATCTCTAAGATAAATCGATAAAAAGTTTTCACTGTGACGATGTCAAAACAGCAAGCAGAAAAGACAAAAATTTGCCACTGGTCACTTCGCGCCATCGTCGAGTAAAAATGTTTTATCGCTTAGAAAATAGCTTGTTAGGTTACTCATGCACTAGCTAGGGTATGTGTTACTAGAAAATTAGCCACGACTACGTTTTTTGTTAGTTTTAACGTACAAAAATACCTCTTCCTGCACATTTACGCTATATCAAGGTAACACGAGTCCCTATCCAGTGTGTGAGCACCACAAGACTCAGCAGTAAGGCTACACAGCTACTAGGATTCGGTCGATGTGATCGACGCAATTACATTAATATAAATCAGACACACGACATTAAAATTCGCGAAATTCGTGATCTTGATACTTTTAATATTAACCCTTGGTCACTACTCATGGGTCAGTGAGACCCTGCCAACTTTAAAACCTACGTTTACTGGCAATGGCCCCTAACGACTGCGAGTCCCCCGCCCGTGTATTTTCAGTACGGCGCTCGCTGCTTCGTATGGTGGGTGTTTCCAGTGGCTCGGTGCATTTTTCGCGCCAAAATGGCAAAGACAGGGTCACGGTGACCCTTGAGTAGCAGGGACAGGCGATAAAAAAATAATTTAATATATTTTTTTTTACGTTTTTTTATGCGTAAAATACTATTTGTTTGAGGGTTTGTTTTGCAATGATTGTGTAGCTTTTTGTCGTCGTCTTTTTCTTCATTTTGGTTTGGTTTGTCATAGGTATGGGGGTAGAAATGCGCTCACGGATGAAGAAATTGTCAATGTTTTGTTGCTTGATGATGGTGATTTTAATGAGGTGGATACTTCCACGATATAAGGCCCCTCTACCTTTGCTTCTTTACACAGCATCAGTAAATCGGCCAAACTTCCTACGAGGGCTTGATATGAAGTTTTGCGTACCTTATGCTCAGCAGTGAATTTGCAATGAAAAGATTCCCCGAGAATTGCGTCTGATAACTTCAGGGATATACAAACTGCCTATGCCTGAAAGATCTGTTCCAGTTGTCTCTAATGTGGTATCTAAAAGGAAGCTTTGCGGCATTTGTCCCTATAAAAAAGGTCGCAAACCCAACAGTGTTTTTTCTTCGTGTAAAATACCCATTTGCAACACATGCTCAAATAAATGTTTGTCCAAACTGTTTAGTTAACAATTCAAGTTGTTATGTCATTGCATTATAAACCCTTTTTATTACATAATGTGTTTTACTCCATAATCCGCAATAGTTTTGAAGATATACAAAGTTTTATAGCAGGGTCAAAATGACCCTTGAGTAGTGACCGTGTAAAAAATATTTTGAGTAGTAGCCAAGGGTTAACTTTATAAAAAACATAAGTTAAAAATCGTGATATTTATATTATTTACTGGATTAACTAGATATTAAGCTAGGCGAATAAAATAATACTCCTAGAACCACTGCCAGCCTTCCCGCTACAAAAGGCTTACGCACACGAACAAATCAGCAACTATTGTTGTTTTTTTTTTCGTGTGTCGTTAGCAGAGAAAACATAACGAGAATGTTCAATTGATATTGCAAAGCTAGATCTATAACATAAAAAAACAAGTATCAAAATTGTTTCATCCACCGAAACATCGCGTTCCATTTTGGTCCCTATTCAATAGGGTTAAAGTTCATTCTCGTTAGTTCCAAGCGCACGCTAGACGCGTGGTACCTTCAAACTGCTATGTACATATACATATGGGTGGCTGGAGCCGTCTCTTACTCGTGTGAGCGAGGTTTCCGCGACGCCCATCTCTTTCCCGCGCAGGATCTGATTGGCCAGCTTCTGTTTATTGACGGGGGAGCCTGCAAAAGAGAGTCGAATCACCTGCCTGACGATTACAGACTACTGCTAAACTGTGTGTGATGTGAAGTGACAGTGAATAAGGATAGCACGTCTTGTATCCACTCGGTGGTCTCAATATCATTTTTATACAGCAAGAAATTGGACGAAATAGTAGCAGCCAGTTATACATATTTGGTGCAATAAAACAAAAAAAAAACATCCCTACCTTTCAATACTTATATGTATTTTAAAATACATTTTTAATATTAATAAATACCTGCCTGTAATCGTATGTGACAAAATAATGATATAAACAGCGCAGCAATTGGGAGGGAAAAGCAAAAATAACGTAAATATTGAATGATATTTATATAACAACCGACTATCCTAAATTCTAACGATGCTCGGATTTCTTAATGCAGTACACCAGAGTGAGTGAAAGAGATGGATAGAAATAGAACTAATGTATATTTTCAGAAGAATAGGATCCGTAATCGCTTGTAAATTTGACAATAATGGTAATGTCTAAAGAAATCGGCGAAATAAAAAAGATACTCGATACATTTTCGCAGAATGACAGCTGAGGTTAAAGCTGGTTTTAGAGTCGTGCTGACCGCACGCTGATCGTCGGCGCTGACAGATCAATATGTATGTAATTGAAGGGAATGTTCCTGAGTGACGCTGATCGCTCGGCGCCGACGCTTCATACAATTCGGCTGTCAGCGCTGACGGTCAACGTGCGTCAGCGTGACTCTAAAACCAGCCTTAGATTTGAGGAAAGAGAAAATAGTCTTAATATACCCGATTGTCAGTATAAAACACTACAGAAAAAATTAAACTATGAATATCTCTGAAACAGACTATTGGGATCGTTTGTGATGAGTGTAACCTAAATGTTATTTTTGCATTTCCCCCGTATAAAGCTTCAATCTAATGGTACCTTACCTTCCTCAGTTGTTAGTAAGATACTCTGTGATGAGTTAGTTTTAGCGAATAGAAGCAACTCCAACGAAACACAACACAATAAACAATAGGTACTTATTACATCAATATTAATAACAACAATATACGATCGCCGAATCACTTTTTGGGTTGGTATCTTTTCATGTTAATTTCCAACAGATATAAGATTGAAAGAATTACTTTCAGTTTAAAAACAATAACGAAAGCATTTTTAACGTTTGTGATATTTTACGGTATTAATTTATATCGTAGTAACAAAAGTTTCAATACTTTGGCGAACTATATTAAACATAATATCGCTTAGAAACAGTAAACGTAAAAATATGAACTGAAAGGTCCAATATACAAGCGAGATAAAAAAAATACAGTGCGGTGATGTGAAGACAAGGCATGCAAAGCTTTGCCCTAAACATAGTGCGTGTGAGAGGTGTGGGATGTTGTGTGAAGAGTGGCAACACTTGATAAAACCAATCATCGTGGACTGTGGTAACACCATAAAAATTGTTTATTACCTAAAAGAGTCCTGATCATAAAATTTATTTTTCGTCATGCGATGTTTTTCTGAAATTGACTGGTGTGATTATGAACTACATGCTTAAATATCGTCAAATTGGTATTAGTGTAAAATTTGATTAACAGTCAGGTGACTAATTTTTTGATTCATGATTAACAGCCTGTGATTCAGGTGACTAATTTTTTGATTAATTCATATTTATTTGCGCTACACAAACATATATTACGAAAAATGGGAATAGTGGCAATTTTCTGCCAGCTGGTTGTCCCGTACTTGCCACGATTTGTTAAGTAAATAACTAAGAATAATCTTCGTACGAAATCAAATCAGTTAGCGCTCAAATAACAAACACTTCGCAGTCTTCTCAGGTAAATGAACTCGCTCTAATGTCTCTCAACTTAAAAACAACTTTACCGATACTAAATCTCTAATATTTTGTTGGTATGTGTGTTAGTAGTGTCAAATGGCGTGAGTACTCACCGATATAGGAGAGCATGACGGGCAGGAAGATCAGCCCGTGCGCCGCGCCCACCAAAACTATGCCCAGGTACATCCGGAAGTAGAACACCTGAAAATTAATAAACTCAGTAAAAACTCAGTAAAACTCATTTATTTCTGTAAGTAGGCTTTAAAAAAGCACTTTTACACGTCCCAGTATTAACCCTACCACTGCTTCAGGACAATAAATAGGCCAGTGCTGAGAAGAAGCAGCGCAAAAAACTCAGACACTATTGTCAGCCATTAATGTCGAATTGAAGGAAACACAACAAAATTTTGACATTATAATATCTAAACCTTCAGCGAAACTATGCCAGTCTGTGTCTACGGTAGCATGCACGATGGCGATCACTGCGTGTATGAAAGTATAAGTCACAAAGTGTTAACAATCTATGAGGCTATGGCCTCTTCGGAATTCCGGATGAAGCTCGCCTCACCCTTCGGCCTGGATTCAATTAGGTATGATGCAGGACAAAGAGCTTCCTCGTTGTGTCTAAAAAACTTGTCAGTCCTGGAAGACCTGGCTCCATCATGAAGGTTTCCACCAGGTAAGATGCAGGTATAGGACTTCTCCGTGCTAATATAGAACCTCGTCAGTCACGCACCTAGAAGATCAGGCTCTTAACGAAGCTCAGTACAATTATCGCCCAAACTAGGTCTTCTCCGCTGTAACCGCTGTAATACTTACTTACGCTGATAGCTCAGCTTCCTAAGTGTCTTGGTCTCCGATAGGAGCATGTCGTCATTTACTTCAGTCTCTTGCTCTTCGCGAAACCCAGCACGATGGTGATAAGGCCTAAGTCTTCTCCGCTGTAATACTCACTAACTTTGATGGCTCAGCTACCCAAAGTGTGTCTTGAACTCTTGACCTTTGATCTTTTGCTGCAGCTGTAATCCGCTCTCACTAACTTTGATGGCTCAGCGACCCAAAGTGTATCTAGACCTTTGCTCTTTTGCTTCTCCGCTGTGATAATAACTGACCTGGAAGATCTGGCTCTTGGCGAAGCCCAGCACGATGATCCCGCCGAACTTGGTAAGCTTGATGCCGGACAGCACGGAAGAGTGAGATGAAGGCCTAGGACTTTTCCGCTGTGGTTCTCCTAGCCTCCGATAGGAGATGTCGTCATTTACTTCGGTTTCTTGCTCTTGTATTGAACTGACCTGGAAGATCTGGCACTTTGCAAAGTCCAGCATGAAAATCCCTCTGAAATTTGTAAGCGTGACGCGCGACGCTGTAATACTCACTTACATTGATGGCTGAGCGACCTGGTGTGTCTTGAACTCTTGACCTTCGATTTGTCGCCATTTGCTTCGATCTTTTGCTCTTTTACTCCGCTCTCTGTTGTAATAATAGCTCACCTGGAAGATCTGGCTCTTAACGAAACCCAGCACATTGATTCCTCTAACTTAATGAGCGTATTGTAGGACGATTGAGATGCAGTTCTAGGTCTTCTTCGCTGCGACCCTGTGTCTTGAACTCTTGACCTCTGATAGGAGACATCGCCAATTACTTCGGTCTTTTGCTCTCATATGTGATAAGACCTCATCAGCCACTGACCTGGAAGATCTGGCTCTTAGCGAAGCCCAGCACGATGATCCCGCCGAACTTGGTGAGCGTGATGCCGGACAGCACGGACGAGCCCATGCGCGCCAGCGACGCCGCCGCGCGCGCCACGCGCGACCCGCCGCCCGCCGTACTGAAGCTGTGCACTAAGCGCGAGCAGAATTAGAGCTCCTGGGGTCGATTCCCAGAGGGAGCAGAGGTTTCTGCTCAGTTCAGTTGGTAATAGGGCTTGGTCAGGCTAGCTAGCTACCACCATCTTACCTAAGTGTGTCGTCATAACAACAGAATTCTTGTGATCCAGCAGTTGGAGATAAGATAGCCAGTTTCTCTTGAGGATTCCAGGTGAAGCTCGCTTCCACCTTAAGCTTGGTCATAACCAAAGGATTCCAACAAGAGAGATGCAGATCTAAGACTTCTCCATGCTAATATAAGACCTTGTCAATCACGCACCTGGAAGACCTGGCGGCCTTCAGATTGATTATCATCAAAGGTATCCATCAGGTGACATAGGACTTCTCCGTGCTAATATAGAACCTCGTCAGTCACACACCTGGAAAATCTGGTTCTTAGCCTAGCACGATGATAATAAGGCATAGGTCTTCTCCACTGCAATACTAACTTACTTTGATAGCTCAGCTACCTAAGTGTCTTGGTTTCCGACAGGAGCATGTCGTCATTTACTTCAGTCTCTTGCTCTTGTATTGGACATACCTGGAAGATCTGGCTCTTTGCGAAACCCTACACGATGGGGATAAGGCCTAAGTCTTCTCTGCTGTAATACTCATTAACTGATGGCTCAGCGACCCAAAGTGTGTCTTGAACTCTTGACCTTTGATCTTTTGCTGCAGCTGTAATCCGCTCTCACTAACTTTGATGGCTCAGGGCACCAAAGTGTATCTAGACCTTTGCTCTTTTGCTTCTCCGCTGTAATAATAACTGACCTGGAAGATCTGGCTCTTAGCGAAGCCCAGAACGATGGTGATAAGGCCTAAGTCTTCTCTGCTGTAATACTCATTAACTGATGGCTCAGCGACCCAAAGCGTGTCTTGAACTCTTGACCTTTGATCTTTTGCTGCAGCTGTAATCCGCTCTCACTAACTTTGATGGCTCAGGGCACCAAAGTGTATCTAGACCTTTGCTCTTTTGCTTCTCCGCTGTGATAATAACTGACCTGGAAGATCTGGCTCTTAGCGAAGCCCAGCACGATGATCCCGCCGAACTTGGTGAGCGTGATGCCGGACAGCACGGACGAGCCCATGCGCGCCAGCGACGCCGCCGCGCGCGCCACGCGCGACCCGCCGCCCGCCGTACTGAAGCTGTGCACTAAGCGCGAGCAGAACTAGAGGTACTGGGGTCGATTCCCAGTGAGAGCGAAGGTTTCTGCTCAGTTCAGTTGGTGATAGGGCTTGTTCAGGCTAGCTAGCTACCTAAGTGTGTCGCCATAACAACAGAATTCTTGTGATCCAGCAGTTGGAGATAAGATAGCCAGCTCCTCTTTAGGATTCCCGGTGAAACTCACTTCCCCCTTCGGCCTAGTTTCAATTAGGTGTGATTTTGGACAAGAGCTTCCTCGTTGCGTCTAAAAAACTTGTCAGTCCTGGAAGACCTGGCTCCATCATGAAGGTTTCCATCAAGTAAGATGCTACCTACATCAAAGCAAGACTTCTCTGTAGGACCTCGTCTGTCACATACCTGGCAATACTAACTTACTTTGATGGCTCAGCGACCCAGAGTGTGTCTTGAACTTTGACCTCCAATCTTTTACTCTTTTACTCCGCTTCCTGCTGTAATAATAACTGACCTGGAAGATCTGGCTCTTGGCGAAGCCCAGCACGATGATCCCGCCGAACTTGGTGAGCGTGATGCCGGACAGCACGGACGAGCCCATGCGCGCCAGCGACGCCGCCGCGCGCGCCACGCGCGACCCGCCGCCCGCCGTACTGAAGCTGTGCACTAAGTGCGAGCAGAACTAGAGCTCTTGGGGTCGAATCCCAGTGGGAACAAAGTTTTCTGCTTGGTTTCGTTGGTGGTAGACCTTGTTCTAAGTCCACCTGGCTAGCTACCACCATCTTACCTAAGTGTGTTGTTATAACAACAGAAGTCTTGTGATCCAGCAGTTGGAGATAGCCAGTTTCTCTTGAGGATTCCGGGTGAAGCTCGCTTCCCCCTTCGGCCTGGTTTAAATTAGGTGTGATTTTGGACAAGAGCTTCCTCGTTGTGTCTAAAAAAACTTGTCAGTCTTGGAAGACCTGGCTCCATCATGAAGGTTTCCATCAAGTAAGATGCTACCTACATCAAAGCAAGACTTCTCCGTGCTAATATAGGACCTCGTCTGTCACGCACCTAGAAGATCAGGCTCTTAACGAAGCTCAGTACAATTATCGCCCAAACTAGGTCTTCTCCGCTGTAACCGCTGTAATACTTACTTACGCTGATAGCTCAGCTTCCTAAGTGTCTTGGTCTCCGATAGGAGCATGTCGTCATTTACTTCAGTCTCTTGCTCTTCGCGAAACCCAGCACGATGGTGATAAGGCCTAAGTCTTCTCCGCTGTAATACTCACTAACTTTGATGGCTCAGCTACCCAAAGTGTGTCTTGAACTCTTGACCTTTGATCTTTTGCTGCAGCTGTAATCCGCTCTCACTAACTTTGATGGCTCAGGGCACCAAAGTGTATCTAGACCTTTGCTCTTTTGCTTCTCCGCTGTAATAATAACTGACCTGGAAGATCTGGCTCTTCGCGAAGCCCAGCACGATGATCCCGCCGAACTTGGTGAGCGTGATGCCGGACAGCACGGACGAGCCCATGCGCGCCAGCGACGCCGCCGCGCGCGCCACGCGCGACCCGCCGCCCGCCGTACTGAAGCTGTGCACTAAGTGCGAGCAGAACTAGAGGTACTGGGTTTGGTTTCCAATGGGAGCAAATGTTTCTGCTCGGTTTTGTCGGTGTTAAGGGTCTGCCTGGCTAGCTACCATCGTCTTACCTAAGTCTGTCGCCTTAACAACAATGTTAACAGCATTGTTGTGTTCCAGCAGTTGGAGATAAGATAGCCAGCTCCTCTTCAAGATTCCGGATGAAGCTCGCCTCACCCTTCGGCCTGGTTTAAATTAGGTATGATGCAGGACAAAGAGCTTCCTCGTTGCGTCTAAAAAACTTGTCAGTCCTGGAAGACCTGGCTCCATCAGGTAAGATGCAGGTATAGTACTTCTCCGTGCTAATATAGGACCTCGTGTCACATACCTGGAAGATCTGGCACTTCGCAAAGTCCAGCACGAAAATCCCTCTGAAATTTGTAAGCGTGATGCGCGACGCTGTAATACTCACTTACATTGATGGCTTAGTGACCTAATGTGTCTTGCACTCTTGACCTCTTGACCTTCGATTTGTCGCCATTTGCTTCGATCTTTTGCTCTTTTACTCCGCTCCCTGCTGTAATAATAACTGACCTGGAAGATCTGGCTCTTAGCGAAGCCCAGCACGATGATCCCGCCGAACTTGGTGAGCGTGATGCCGGACAGCACGGACGAGCCCATGCGCGCCAGCGACGCCGCCGCGCGCGCCACGCGCGACCCGCCGCCCGCCGTACTGAAGCTGTGCACTAAGTGCGAGCAGAATTCCACTGCTATGCCTACTGCCATCACCTGGAGAAATATAGGCATTAAAAATAAACAATATTCCACCACCTGTGGAAATACGAGCATTAAAAATAAACGATATTCCATTACCGTCTGAAAGTGGATGACTATAATAATAAGCTTGGCAACAAGCGGCTCTATGCGGCCTCATGATGATCCAACACAAACAGATCTTTGGCTTGTTGAAGCTATTTTAGTTCGCGCAACGAGAGTTGAGTCTGCGCTTGATGTCTTGCGTAGTCGGACTAAAAATCGCGAGATAGTATAATCGATATTTGAACTTGAATGCAACTTTCGTTCACTTCAACTTCCGTTGAGTGATCTCTATCAAATTATAAGATTATCTCAAAAATCAGTTGGGAAAATCAAATCAGTCAAAAAGTAAGAAGTTTGAATAATCTTATCGATTTACAACCACTTGTCTCACTTCAACAAGTTTACAAATGTGACTTACCAAATTGACCAGAGAAACGGCGTTCAAGCTAACGCCCCACCAGTACATGAGTCCGCCGAGGTTCACCACTATCATTGTGATCGTGATCACCACCACCTGAAACAAAAAAATAATTATGTACTTTTTGTCAGTGACCGGAATTAACTCATTGGGTAGTTAAACGGTACATTTTATAGTTTCATAAAGCTCCAAATAAGCGAAAATAGCAAAGAAGTACCATGCCTTGCGTAGATTTTATAGGCACAAATTATGGAACTTGATAGGCGTGATTTGAATGCCATACGTGTCACCCGCAACATTTTATATCAAAACTAGCGGCCGCTTGCGACTTCGTACGCGTGGATTTCGTTTTACCCCCTTAGGGGTGGAACTTCGTAAAATCCTTTCTTAGCGGATGCCTACGTCATAACATCTACCTGCATGCCTTTCAGCCCGATGCGTCCAGTGGTTTGGGCTGTGCGTTGATAGGTCACTATGACAGTCAGTCAATCACCTTTGAGTTTATATTTAGATAACTATAAAAAGAAGTAGGATTCTCACCAGCGCGGAGAACAGGTCGAAGCCCATCAGCAAGAAGGTGACGATGAATATGGACAGCGCGAATATACCGATGGACTCATGTCGGGTCACATCGTGAGAGACATTAAACTTTTAGAACTCCTCCTATATTCTTCTGACTAATTTCGTTCCGGGTCCAATGACAGTTTAACTTGCAACACAAACTTGAGCTTCATTGGTTGGGTTTTTATTGGCGGTCAAGGTACGAGAGGTAGGAATGGTCCCGTATAAAACATTGAGTATCTCACCAGCGCGGAGAACAAGTCGAAGCCCATCAGTAAGAAGGTGACGATGAAGATGGACAGTACAGAAATGCCCATGGACTTCAGCGTGTCGGGCCACATCGTCAGGTACTGCTCGTAGAACACGTAGAATACGGAGTATGGGAACACGTTCACTGTTGTGTTCTTGCCCTGAAAGTATAGGAAGAGATTAAGGCCTGAGTTTTCAATCATCAGTTAACTTTTAACTGAAGAATAAACTTGTCATTTTAACTTTCCCATACTGAAACTGTCAATATGCCCTTAGACCTGTTTAGCTTCACGATAAAGTCGCCTGTTTAACCACTTGGAAATCTCTGCTAGCATATAAGAACTTATCTGTTGACTTTATCGTTTGTATAGCGTTTAACTTAAGTATAGATTCAGTTTACTTTGAATTTGAAATTTCAATTTCTCATTTCAAAATCTCTCGACACTTGATATGGGGTCTCGGGTGGATAGTCTTGATTATAGGCTTAATTTTATCATCATCATTTCTGCCACAGAATGCCCACTGACACAGGTCTCCCTCAATTTGCATAATTTACAGTACAACAAAGTCAACAAACACATGTGGTGTGAAAGTCTTTCGACATCCAGCGAGCTTAAGATTCACATAATAAGTAGATTATTATAATATTCATACCAGTTCCTTCAAGTTGCGGTTGAGAGTTTCTGTCAAATTTGCGGCCACGTTTCGTGCACCGCGTAACGCAGAATAGTAGTCCTCACTCGTCTTCAATACAGTGTGGAAGCCTGAGGGACAAATTGAAATTAAAAAATTAAATGCATTATTTTAAAAACGCCAGTAGACTATTTGACAACAGTAAAAATAGTGTACTTTTACTGTTGTAAAATAGTACTTTTAGAATATTCTTTAACAATTACATTGTATTTTTTATCGATCAATTGTTTGTGATCTAAACAAGAAATGTATGCTTTATTACCTGAGTAGTATGTAGCTCCAATGTTAGCCTCGCTTAGATTCTTCATCATGTGGTAATTGACAGCACTAAAACAAAAATATTTTTTTTATCAAGTAATAACTAAAAGCCGGTCGGTATTCATAAAAACATAGGAGCGTGGCGTGGGAATTATGACAAACAAGAGTACAGACTAGGAAGAAGAAAGAATATTATTATCTGTCTTCTAGTCGTGTCGACAACAGACCTATACAGTGGCAGGCCAAAACTCCGCCACAAGAGTGGCGTTGTCAGTAGCATTCATTAAATCTTCCTGCGTGCAGTTGTTTGGGCACGCAGGGCACGACATGCATCGATTAGGGAACAAAATCTCACTTGCGCTCCAAGCTTGAACCATCCAAGAATCCCCAACTGAACAAATTGACCTTAAGGCCGCCCTGCTTCCGAAGTTTATTTAAAGACTTCCAGGTAAGCCAGGGGATCTCATGTTCAGTGGCCTAATTCACGTATTTTGACTCAAGATCTCGCTGACATTCAGAATTCGTCCCATTGAAAAACAGTTCTAAATCCGTATTCACAAGGGTCATTTCGATAGAACGATTACTCGATAGGATCGCAACTCAGCGATTTGCAGTCGTTAAAGTTTTGTTACGTGAATAAGGCTACAGGTGCAGGACTCTCAGACATAGGGACAAAAAGGACATATTATTTGTTATAACAAACGTACTTTCCGTAGGCCGCGTGGCCTCCTTTAGCGCAGCTCTCGTCGGGGTTGTCCTGCAGGAAGAACGGCACGTAGTGGCGGAAGGCGCTGGCGTTGGGCCGCTGCTCCGCGCCCACCAGTGGGATGTGGCATTGGTCGCAGTCTGGGAAACAAAACGACAAGTTTATAGAGATGTGGTATTGGGCCCTATACAGCAAGGTGTCAAGGTCTGGAGAAATAAACGGAATGGAATTAAATGACTACGAGAATCTGTTTGTTACCACTCCTTCATTAGTCGCTCAATGAGGGTTTTCGCGTATGAAAGATCCGCTAGATGGCGGGACGTGGACGTGGGGTCTGAGTGCTGCGTAATTGTTGGATTTTGACATATCTGTCAATGTCATGTCAAAAATAACAAATCATGCAGCATTTGGACCTCGCGACTACGTATTGCCATCTGGTGGATTTTTCATACGCGAAAACCCTCATTAATTTATACCTACTATAGAAATAGGACCAGGGGTACCTTTTGTCAGAAAAATTAAAAGAAAGCGAAATATGCAGTTAAATATGCAAATGGTAGATTTCCCATCAAAACATCTGAAGGTAGCGAAAACTTATTTTTACGATTTTTGTAATAATTGGAGTAAAACTTGCGGATATCGTAAATTAAACAAAAAAAAAAGAGCGTGCCCGCAATTTTATTCCTCAAAATCCTGTTATTACGATTGATGTCACAAAAGACAATGCCGGAAATTGGCGTCTTTTTTTTTCACGCGGCCATCGACCAAACTTGTGTTTTAATTTCTTACAAAACTTGCGCGCAAAAAGCAAATCTAGTATGTAAATCATCAAACTTCTAACGCTCGTAACTTAGTTCAGACTGAGTTTAGAGGTATACATGTTTTAGTAAGTTTGGTTTATTTCACTATTTTGTAATCAAAAAACAAAGTATGGTCGATGGCCGCGCGAAAAAAAAAAGACGCCACCTTCCATACAAAATCTGGCACTGCCATTTCATTACCATCTAAAGTAAACATTCAGTGTTTGTACTTACCATCGTGAGTATGCGGACAGTAGCTGTTATTCCCTGGGAACACCTTACAGCACTCGCCGATAGAAGCCCAGTCAAAGAAATCGTCCAACCACGAGTTAGGCGGCTGAAGCAGATACGTCTCATTGGGCGTGCGGGTAGCTGGAATAAAAGGAATACATTAATATGAGGGGTCAAGGCTCACGTATGGTCACAGTAGTTTGTTCGGCGAGGACGCACCAATACTGTAGAAGAAGTACTGAGTAAGAAATAGAATATTACTAGTTGTTGCTCTGCTCTGCTTCTATTGATCGTAGCGTGATGTTGTATAGCCTATAGCCTTCCTCGATAAATGGGCTATCTAACACTGAAATAATTTCTCAAATCGGACCAGTAGTTCCGGAGATTAGCGCGTTCAAGTAAACAAACAATCAAATAAACTCTTCAGCATTATAATATTAGCATAGATTTCACATAAAACCAAGGACAAAAAGAGACATTTATTTTCAGCGGGAGTCCTCATTCGTTGAATAAATAAAATTATTTCTGCAACTCAAAGATCCACAATATCGACTCTTGAGACTAATCTTACTCCCCAAAAACGATAATTAATTTTGAGCAACTAACATATTACAGCAGTGTTCGGTTCTGTTCTCATTAACATAATTACGCGCGAGCGATAAGGATGGGTAGCTTGGGGTCATTGGACAAAATTCTACGTGCTCGCAGACCAAACTATACTAGTCTAAAACGACCTGACCCACACTCTTCATATATTGGTGGTCAAATCCGTAATATCTATGACAAACTCACCCGAGTACAGCTGCAGCATAACACTGTCTTCCCTACAGTACCGCGTCCCGCATATCATGTTCTGCGTATCCGTATCAGAGTAGTTCAACCCTTCCGTGATCACGAAGTAAACAGGCGGTCCGATGTTAAGATACTTGTTTAGGTATTGGAAGTATTTCAGCTGGAAACTGTCGTGAGGCATCGAGAGTTCCTGGTCGAGACCGATTTCTATGTGTGGCGCAACCTGGTGGAAGAAATTTATGTTTTCAGTTCGGATATGAAGCAATTTATAAGTTTCAACAACTCGTATAGTCAGTAACTAATCTAAAGACTAATCAAATTAAATTAAATCAAGTCATTTTTTTGGCGAACATGGTTACATACAGTAGGTGTTACAAGATTTTTAGTATCTCCATCTTCCACCTTTTGGCATGAAAAATTATATTTAACTAATTGAAGAATAATAAATAATGTAGTATGTACTCCTCCTAAGTGAAAACTTGATTGTATTTAGTAATACCTATACTATTATTTTTATAATGAGGGTATTTTGGACCCTTGCCTTGTGTAGATATAGATTCTAGAATAAGAATCACGACTTACCGCGACCGAGGAGCACAGCCACGCGAAGAATATGATCATGACGGACGCACGCACTTCCCGCTTCATCAGGAAGGGAACGTAGATCTGCTTGAACAAGTTGAACAGAGCACCCTCGCCGCCTGCGGCCGCGTCGTCGCACTTCTTGCCTTGCATGCAACATAGCACGTCGAACCTGAATAAATAACAATAATATTGTAGTAAAGCTGGAACTACTAATCGGTCCATAAAAAATGGGTGTTTTTGGCGCAAAAAAGCGCTTGTAAGCAAAATGGCAATCGTTACGGCAGTTTTCGGCGAGGATACGTTTGCTAACTTCAAGTGACGGACGTATTACATTCATGTTTTAGCAATGACAGCGCTTACAGCTGTAGTGAGCCTAGCGATCGCCATTTCGCTTACTTCCAATCGCTTTTTTTCCGACAAACGCCCCCAATAACTCTGGTTGAAATAGGGATCGGTCACCACCATCATAGAGTTGGTGTGGAAATACGACGAAACCAAAAGGTCCTGCCATTTGATTGTCAAAAGAAGGATTAATAAATATCGAATATTTAACGATATTACGTGTATCTCATTTGGAAATCTAACCCAGAACTCAACCAGTAAAAACAAATAATCTTTTAGACGTCAGCTACCAATATTTCGAATAAATAATATGTACTGTTAATGTACAGTCGACAGCACATCAAGCTATACATTTTCGTTGCAAAGTCGCCTCTATCGCAACTACGTAAGATACCACAGTGTTTACGTTGACGTGCTGTCGACCGTACAATAATAAAAATATGTGACTTCTAACATATGACTCAAAAATAGTAAGGTTACCGTTGGAAACTCGACTAGGTATTTGAAACATAGTAACATGTCCATCGTCCAAGGCTAAGAGTATTAATATTAATAACTACCGCAGTTGCGTATGATCATAACATTTATCTCCTCATTAAAAACTTAATGTGAAAAATAATAGAGGAAAATCCCACTCCTCACATGTATAATATATTTTTAAGCAGATACCTACATATCCTTACCTTATATTTTTAAACAGATAATGTTTAAAAAAAAACTTTCTATTTTAAATACACTGGCAGATAATAAACCTAGTCATTAGTACTTTTGCAATCCAAATACGTATTAAAAGTACCGATAAAAAGCGACAAACTAGCCACTCATATAATTTAATGAGACCCATAAAACTTTATCATTACACATGCGTTGTTGGGNCCCCCACCACTTAAGCACAACTCCGTCGAAGTCGAAAACTTAGGAGAGTCTTAATGGGCAACCAATGAAGCCATTCAAGCAAAAAAATCTTTTGTAGGAATTATTTCCGATTTAATCAATTTTTGTGTTTAATTCTACTGGCCTATATACGCCGCGTCACCGCCGCTGTCAAATTCTAAAGAATGGCGGCCCGACTCTGCTCCGCCATCATGGTGGAAATAGAGCCTTAACTCTTCAATATGTATAAAAAGTCAATATTTACTAAATCTTCATTATCATCGCCAGTTTTATCTGGACCGCAGAATTTAATGACAACTAACTATGTCCACCCTTTAGTCTCGCCCTATTACCCGTGGAGTGTGGTCTATTATTATGCTCTTTGCCTTACGGCTATTCTCATTGTTTACGTAGCTATTATTGTAAGTGTAGTGTGGTTGATATTTTTCATGTTAGGATAATAATTGTTTTAGTTCCCTATTTTTCAGATAGAAAATATACCTATGGTTAATTTACAACGAGTACATACACCTTTGATTCATTTTTCTACTTTTGACTCTACCTACAAAGTAGTAATAACATCTGCTCTAAGGAGACAACCAATATCTAGACTAGAAAGAATAGTAAGGACGACAGCATAATACTTGAACTCTGTGACGTCTGCCTTATGCAGTTGTTATTGTTAATATTTTGTAGCAAAAATGTGTATTTATTGTCTTGAAACTTGATAGCACTTTTTATAAACATATTTTAGGCACACTCAAAACTTTGCATAGCATTTTAACGAGCGTTCCCACAAACCCTTCCACGTAATGCCCTTAAGCCGAATCTAATAAGTCGAATTTCGCTGCTGGTCGTCGCCACACCCCACTCATAATGAGCGGATTCCCGCAAACAGATAATTAAGCAAAAACTACAAAGCGGAGCCGTTGGCGTTCACACTTTACATTCAAATGAGCACCCCTCGTTACTGAGATGTTTAATCGCAACTCCATTAATGCAGAAATTGTGAAGCTTTTACCAATTTCGTCATTGTAATTTAATGTCAGTAATTTTCATTGACAATTTTCGTTAGTTTCGGTTTGAAAATGATGATTGGGCTTCAGAGATCATGCACATCTAACTAGAAAGATATAAGAGTCAATTTGAAGATCAATTGTAATAAAGACTAACAAAAGAAAGATACAGAATCAACTTCGACGAAACAACTAAAAAGAACACTCAATTCCACAAACAAAAATCCCGGCAATCAAACTTGGAACTTGAATTTCCATTCCTCCGATTACCATAACGTATAAGTACACCCAACAATGAAACGTTGATCCAATTTAACACGAAAAGAAAGTGTCAAAAAGACGCTCTAAAGGAAGTAATGAGGGCGCAGAAGCGAGCCCTGAGGCACGCCTGACGGGGACGCCTTTATTACTTTAAGCTTTGTATTATTTTGCTCTCGGGTCTCTCCCGTGAAAAGGAAAGCTTAATTCGGTTACACTTTGAGACGTCGCCGGGTACAATCTAATTATTCCAACGCTGGGATGGCGGTTCACATTGTCAAAAGCCTTAGTGCGTTCGGGTAACCAAATTAATCAGCGGTCTCGTAATTTTCAAGTTTGTTTTGGATGTTTAATTCGTGCAGACTAGACGTCGTGTTCTGTAAACAAAGTTCGGACGGATTGTTTGCAAATGGAATTATATTGGGACGCATTTCAAAGGTCCAATTTGTCAACAGTCTATTGTGTTTATCAATTGTTTTGGGCAAACAATATTGAATATTATTTAATTTTAGGCATATTTTCTTTTCTTTTGTTATTTGCGTAGTATTTTTCGACTACAAACCATTTTATTCAGGGTATAGAGAGTAGAAGGCAGAGAATTAAAGATTCATTTGTAAAATTAAATGCTAATGGGATGATTTTGTGTTTTAATCCTCGACTGTACCTTCTTCGTGCTTAGCTTAAGCGCTGACTTAAATAGTACATTCGTCGACAACGTTATGAAATATTATTTGGAAAATGTTGTAAAATTCTCAACTCAATATGAAAATAAACGTATGTAAACTAAGAAAATAAATTGTCATCTACACTAATATTAGAAAGAGGAAAGATTTGATTGCTTGTGATAAGATAATGTTGATAATCTAAGGGCTAAGGGCAATATCAGTCGGGTTGGTCTCATTATTCTAGATTTAATTAATTAAAAATTAAACATGATATTCGATTATAATACTTCATTAATAGATTTACTTGGAGTAACAGCAATACAGTAGGTAACAATATAGTATGTGATAGGCCTACATTATTATAGTCTTAACTTCGTGGTTAGTCAAAAATCGAGCTTTAAACTTTTGACTCCCAGTTTCTATTAAAATGAAATTGTGCACCTGCACAGTTGCCACTGGTCATCATAAATTAAACGTTTAAACCTTAGTGCCCGACTGTACAATAAATCCAACCTCGCGTACCCTAACACTTAACTGTTTATACCGGAGTTAAAGCTAGAGTAACAGACACTGATTAATGCGATTTTAATCCTCACATAAAACCCCCAAATCCAACCCTGTATTAATGGCCAGTCCGCCTCTATATGTCACAAGTACATCCCTGTCACAGCGGAATTTAAGCCCTATGTCTTCAACATTACCGTTTAATCTTCAACAAACTTTAAGTCGAAATCTGTGGATATTTAAATCCAAGACCTCTAACTTTTAAGTCTGACAAGTGTGAATTCAAATACGAAAGGCTTAGAGTTGCGTTTTCAACTGTCAAAGTATTAGGACTAAAACCAGCGATGGAAATATAACCTTTAATCCGATACACTTATAGTTCAAAGCTGTGGAATCAGGATCGATAGGGATGAGGTAGTTTGACAGGAGTCGATTGTGATAGCATGAGTTTTTGCGTATGAGTGAGCGAGATGAAGGGATTTCTGTTGGCGCGACTCTGGAATGGGATTAAGGGTTGTCCAAAGCAGGCACCTGATCTGAGTTTGATTTTATTTTTCAATTACGGGGTACATCTGCGAAGGGCAAAGGGTTCATTACGGATATTTCATTATGGTTGTCTGTTACGAATTGGGAATCAGATGAGATTGTTTTCGGATTTGATGGAGGCATCCGATAAATTGATACTGGGTAAGCTGATGTTTTGTGTCCCACAAATTCATATCGAATATTTGATTTGTAATATCGAATTGGCTAATCAGGTTTGCTAATACTTTAAATTATACTTATATTTCTCGTCCAAAACAATTTTAGTCAACTAAATTAAATCTCTATTCAGAAATGTAAATACTCGTAATACTGATATCCAATTATATCTTCCCGTAAAATCGATTTAAATATTCTACTTTACTGTTAAATACTTTTGCTCAAATTGTATATCTGATTTGGGAAAAGAATAAAATAAGTACCTAATTTGCGATATGCAAAAACAATACATATTTCATCTTAATTAGGATCAGTGATTCTAAAATTCATGTGTAGGTAATGTTTGGCATGAAATCAAGAGATTTTGATGTTGCATAGTGAACACAGGCGAAGCCACAGGCAGACCAAGTAATGCTACAAGTTTAAGCAACACGCTTAAGGTAGAAGAAATCTTTTTTAAGCTCCTGCTATAGTGTAGTAACTATTAAATTCCAATTCTTACGGAATCGGAGTTTTGGAAGATGCCTATCAAGCTGGTCCCTCCAGTGACTCCATAATTGAAAAATAAAGACGGCAAAACTATAACCAGACCTCAAAAATCATCCTGACAAAAGTCCATGTATCCCGTTCGCTCGCTACCAAAACTATCGCGTCCCGTCTTTGTCCCGCGCCACCGGAAGTGAGATCTCAAAGATGGCTGCCCCGGATATGGGAGGGGCATCTGATTTATAGTGAGGGGGGAGAGAGGGGAACTATTGTTGTGTGCGTATGTGTGGATGTGGATTGGGTTTGATTTAACTTTCAGCCTATGAAATTCAGGATTGAACGTGAATTCGGAGCTTTTAATAGAGACGCTGTGATTGCGTTTGCTGTGACTAATTAATAAAAAATTATGCTTTTTGATGAGTATTCAGACTTTAGCGCGACGTAAAAAATAAAATGTGACAACTTATTTATTTCAGCTTTGTGTAGGACGGTTATAATTCGATTTGCTGATAAGTTGATAGAAATATGTTATTTAAGATTGTAGCCCTTTCATACTTAACATTATTTTAGGCATTTTTTAGATATTATACCTATTCGTAATAGGTGAACATTACATATTTAAAATGTATTATAAATATATCAAAATAAGTTAGGTAGGTAATACATATTCTGGTTCCATTAAATTTAAATGCTCGTAAAATATTCGTATTTAAACTTTAGAACTAAGAGAACTCTTAAAGGTATTTGTTCCTTTAAAACCATGTTTTTCTTCAACTATCCAAATATTATTGTCCCCAATCCATGGCGTCATATACTATCTCCTCGTACACATGAATAATGCACACGAATCTATTCGAGCAATAAAAGAAATGGAAAGAAGAGTCGAAGGCGAAAACACTGCTATAAAAACGTTTTATGGTTACCATTACTGAGGCTGTGAGGCACCATTTAATATCGAAAGTCCGTGACTCGTGTGTATGTTGTATCATTTTTTTATAGAGGATGGTTTATTTAACCCAAAATGAATGTCAAAGGTATAGGGGTTTATGTCAGGTTTAATTTTATAGATTTCTAATCTTATAAAAAAGGAAAGCAATAGAATGCAGCGACATCCAAATATGAACTCAAAAATAAATCATAGCAAGTCCCTAAATAATGAAACTATCTCGAGGAACTATTATGTACTTATTATGTGCTCGAGACCTAAAAAGGTCTATACATTATGCTAAAAGGATTTGGGGACATGCATTTCGAAGTTCAATACTAAAACAAACTGTAGAGCACATAAAGTTAATATTAACTTTATGGTAGAGCAGTGCTTTTGGTTACTTATGAAATTTAGAACATTATTAAGAAAAAATCTAGTACATAGTTCCTAGACTGTCTCTTATTGCATTTTTACGTACAAAAGTTTGAACTGCTCACCTTTTTGTATAAAGTGGTTTTGTACTTTACCGTGGTTACCTTTGGGCACTGTATTTTCTGACCTAAGTTCATTTTGATTTGAAGTAAATCTCCCAGGGCTGTGCAACGTCGAGACTGTAGCAACATGATTGATAGTGACATTATCCAAGAGAGTGTGGTATACTTGACGTAGGGTTACCTACCGATATAAGATGATGGAATTTCTACAGTACTTAAGTAAATAGAGTTAATTCTAAATGTATACCTACTTACCTACTCAGTAAAATGAAGTTCAGACTCGCAGTCAGAAAAGAGCACAGAACAATCATTCAAACCTTTGTTTTTTCAAACTGAAATTAAATTTTTGTTCTCCTAATCTGATTAGCGATCTTTTTTTCTAGAAAATGTGAATGGACTAAAGATTGTAAATAATTATGTAAGGTTGATTCATACCTACCATTTTATTCGTACCGAGACGTGGACAATAAAATTAAGAGTCAAATATGCGGAAGCTAGTTTGTGTAAAATAGGTAGGTAATAAATATTAGGTAGTCATTCATTTATCATTCCAAAGATTTTCATACACCATTTTCATTTTAGTGCCTGTCTAAAAAATAAAGCAAACTATCACATCAGAGCGAATTTGCATCGACTATAATCACAGGAGTTTTGAAAGACGAACAACAAAGCCAACCAGTGTGATTGACCTGTCTTGATAACCTGCTAAAGAAGTGAAATAGACAAAACCTATCAACCCTATACTGACGTCACGTCCAGAAAATACCCGCAAAATAAAGAAACAGTCTCAAGCGACCGGCGACCCCTGCAGACTAGGGTGGATGCGATGGCTTTGTGTCCAATAAAATCATACAGGGTGTCTGGGTTCTGAAAACACTGCAGAAAATAAATAGGTAATCGATGTAGCCTAAAGGCTAGGCTTTGGAGCTGGTGTTGTATGCTATCTACCAAATAAAGATTGGATAGACAGACAAGCTTTGCTGTCTCTGAAGTTAATTATTTCTAAGCCCTGTGTTGCAACTTGCTACATAGGCTCGTATTATTACGTCAAGTCTATCAAACTCCATGCAAAAAGCACTGGTTAAAGTTGTAGTTACAGTTAAAGAAAAATAGCGCAACTCAGCCTAAGTATTCTTTCCATCGAGATAAATAAGTAGTCCTACTTTTTCACCTCTATATCACTGAGACTTAGTAGTCTTAAAATTAACAATTTACAGGTAACATAACCTTCATTCTTGTAACATGACCCTGCAATTTTCGACCTGGTTAGTTAATCCCTCGTTTGTTATGAGGGTTCATAAAGTTAGACACCATTGGTTGTAAACAATACGGAATTACATACTTACGCTAAAGCTAAAGTTCGCTGCAATGTATGTAGATTATGGTTAATACTATGTCCTGTTTTATTACTTTCCCTGTATCAAAATCCTATGAACTACATCTTCCCATATAACAATTTTTCATTTTTTGGGATCATCTTCAAAATAATACAAACTTCATTTTTTTGGGATTTTCATCAAGGGTATATTTTTAGTTTGTCAGACTACCTTAACATGGCATAACAAATTGATACTAACTTAGGTTTTAGTGCAACAACACTTAGCCTTTAGGAATTATTAAGCATTATCCAAGGCACTTATTTTTTACATATAATTCACCTATTTATTTATTTATCCGCTCATGCCACGTACCTACATCAGTACGTAAGGCGAACTTAATGCCTTAAGGCATTTCTGCCATCTAGTCTTAGTGTTGAATAAACTGTAAAATCAGGATATCCCGATATTTGCCCAATGACTCCAACCTCCCACCACCCAACCCCTAGTGGGGTAAACGTAAAGTTCAGTGAGGTGCCGGTTCGACGCCGGGCAATAAAATCTAATGGAAGACCCACCCTAGGGGGTTGGGTTGTATGTAGGAAGTATGGGACATAACGGCTTTAGATGGCGACAAAAACGATGGTTGTTTTTCTTTGATCTTGATTGCTACATACTTAGCTAACATTGAATTGAATCTTATGCAATAGCTATTATGGCACAATGGCAAAAAATAGGTAGTTTGTAAATGCTTGCGAAGCTATGTGAAAAGACTATAACTTTTACAGTTTCAGGGTGATTATATTAACTTGCACTCTAGTAATTAAATGGCAAGTCTGCCTAACTTCAAGTTCAAGCCTAATTTGACTTCCGAATCAAATTAATACTATATCGATTCTATTGATCCTTTCAAGTCAGCACTTTTCAGAGCTTCGACACTTTCTAATATAATCATATCGATCCATTATGGCAAGATACTGGTATGAGCCATCATCATCATCTCAGTCACAGGACGTCCACTGCTGAACATAGGCCTCCCCCAATGCTTTCCATGTTACTTGGTTGGTAGCGGCCTGCGTCTATCGCTTTCCTGCTACCTTTATGATATCGTCGGTCCACCTTGTAAGTGGATGTCCCACGCTGCGTTTTCCGGTATGAGCGATAGCCACAAATACCTATCTACTTACGATGTAGATCTACAGATAAAATGCGACTAGGTACTTACATGTTTCAATGCCCAATCAAGAACACAGTGAACTCTTTAATTTCCTAACAGTTATTATTCTCGCAGCGGTGCAGAATGAGCGGCAGCCTCGAAATACAGCTACCATCAGGCCGGAGGCTCTGAGGGATATGGACCAAGAGAGAGCGTTGAGGGAGGCCGCTGTTGCTGTAGGAGTTTTCGGGTGAGTCATTCAACAGTTTTAACAGGCTTAAAAGCCTAAAACCTGGTTCAGACACAAGCTAAACGCGCGGTTTCTGGGTGGGTCTCGTTGGAGGAGAGGCACTAAGGCATTAATCGTGCGGTTAAGACTCGATGCAAATGTACGAGAACTGCCAGCAATTGCAAGATTTGGACCAGAAAGAGAGACCGCGGTTGTCGTAGGAGGATTTGGGTGAGGCATTCAACACTTGTAAGGCAGAATAAGCGGCTACCATCACGCTCAAGGCCTCAAAAATAGGAACCGAGGCGTTGAGTGGCCGCGTTTTTTGTGGCGGTGTTCGGATGAATGAATCAACACATTTTACTATGCAACGGTTTACAAACAGTTTCGCAATACATACAGCCTCTATAAGACTCGATGCCTTAAGGATCTTGATCGGGAGGCGTTGTAAAGCTATGTAAGTCTTGGGATGAGTGACTCAACACTTGCGAGTATGTAAGCCGCCATATTATGTAAAAGACTTGGTATAAAATTGATATAACTACAATAGATTGAGCGATAGAAAACATGAACTTGACCATGCAAAAACAAATCGAAACTCACCGTCCATTCTGCCAGATCTTTGATAGATTGCTGCGAAGGTTCCTTTGCTTTCGAAATCACAACCATTGAAACACTACACTATCGTCACTTACACTTTTGTTACCATTGTTTTCTTCTATCACTTTAAGCACAGTTTAAACTTTAGCCGGGCCAGATCTTTATACGGTCGGTATATTCCTCGAATTACACTAGCTATACTGAGTAGCTATAGGCAAAAACAATGTACCTAGGTGTATCTTTGTGTCACTACAAAGGTAAAGGTATCATAATAATAAATCTTTCGACAATTTCACACAGCGCCAGCTAGCCCCAAAGTAAGCAACTCAATGCTTGTATTATGGGTACTACTTACATACTTTTTTTTTAAATACATACATATTACCTATACATAGTAATACCCAGACCCATTACAGAAATTAAAATTCATCATTTCAATTTCTGCCCGGCCGGGAATCGAACCCGGGACCGTAGTCCGTTATGAACCACTACACCAAACGGCCGACATAACAACAATATTTGAGAGGTGATAATAATGTCTAATGCCTTTATATTTTCCTGTCATTTCGATGGTTATTTCCATCTCCACATAATTGTTAGACAAATCAACCTACCAGACAATGAAACCCCTTCGTCTGAAATAGCACGCCGTGACGTCAGCGAGTCACAGTCTGATCAAAGGTGGCCACGGCTGACCGAGTGGCCTGTCCTGGCATGTCCCACCCTTTGCCACGTCAGGTGGAACGATGGAGAATTATATACCATGTAGGACGCGGTATTAATAGAAATGCTATCACTTGATGTCGCTACACTACAGGATTATAGAATACGACCCTCACTAATTAAGATAAAACTAGTCCACGTCTAATTAAGATAAATCTACCCACAACATATTTTGTTAATTTAAAAATGGTTTAAGGTTCGACCAAATCTTATTTTGATAGGTACATTCAGTTCAGATGACCTACTTTGAAAACACACACTTTATAAATAAATAAATAAATCCCAACTAATATTATAAATGCGAAAGTAACTCTGTCTGTCTGTCTGTCTGTCTGTCTGTCTGTTACGCTTTCCCGCTTAAACCTCGCAACCGATTTTGATGAAATTTGGCATAGAGATAGTTTGAGTCCCGGGAAAGAACATAGGATAGTTTTTATCCCGGTTTTTGAAACAGGGACGCGCGCGATAAAGTTTTTCTGTGACAGACAAAATTCCACGCGGGCGAAGCCGCGGGCGGAAAGCTAGTAATATATAAATCTTTGGACAATTTCACACAGCGCCAGCTAGCCCCAAAGTAAGCAACTTAATGCTTGTGTTATGGGTGCTAGCTTAACGGAATATACTACTTATATACCTACTTTATTTGCAAATATTAATTTCCACCTAAGTCTCTATGTAAGTATGGTTTTTCTGCAACTTCAAGCTACGTAGGTTTCGTAGAACTGACTTAGGAATGACCGTCAAATTTTAAATTAAAGCAGCAGTTATGCCTGTGGATCACCTCGATTTTCAGAAAACGTGTGAAACTCAAGCTTGTGTCCAATGCGCATTTTTCCATTTGACAAAAGCGCAAAGGCTATGTTTGTCGCACAAAAACCAGCGTCAGTCCAAAGCTTTGACGATGCGACAGAGGACTGACGCACAGTGGTCCCGATTTAATAAAACATGGACATTGATGCTAGAGGCACGAAAATTTTTTTGATGGTTACTGCTATGATAACTAATACGGCAAAAAAATATTACAATCCTACGACGTCTATTTCGTAGTAAAAAAAAATATATACATATTTTTTGTATGGAAGAAATTACGTTTCTGTCAATTTTTCGAAATTCTTTAACGATGTCAAAATGCCGATCACACATGTTATAAAACAAGTGATTCTGAGTATTTCATGCGAAGATACTTGTCACTTATCTCTGCGTACTTTTGAGTTATCGAGGGTTGAAAAATCGATTTTTTTATATTAAATATTTCCACGAAAAATTGCCAGAATTACAATATGGTGTATAAGGGACACTTTTGATGACACATAACAACGACTCGCACTCGCGCGCGCTCGTATGCATCAACTTTTAAAAAATCTAACATCAGAAGTGGGATTCGAGCGTTTTTGCTAATACTTCCTTGTCTAAGTTTCAGAATGGCACCAGCTCTCCGGATACACCACAAAACCGAATAAGATGCTGTTTTCCCGAATCGAAGACCTGATGAAAACGCGGCGCTACAAGTCATCGAGTCAACAACCAGCGACAACGGTGCAGAAAGGTGATGAACATCGAAGAACGATCGACGGAATTTGGATGAAGCAGCTTGGCGACCATCGCGAAGGCCGGTAAGGCCCTTTAGGGCTTTTCTTTAGTATATTATGTATATTAAGTCGAGAACCTGTAACACCTCTCTGAATTGATATCATTGTAGTTCACAGCTAGTTATATCAAACCTAAGATACGTCTCTCAGAGCAAAATTATACTAGCAGTAAATCTTTTTAATAGAAGTCTAGTTAGCAGTGTAGAGTATGACAGTGTTGTTTAACTTGCATGGAAGGTCACCATGGTCCTAAATGGGAGGGCTATTTCGTCGGATTGAAAAGACAATGCATAAGACATTTATTACAATAATCAAAATACATTGTGTAAGAAAACATTAAAAAGAATAGTTTTTATATAAATTTTTCACATGGTTACTTAAATAAATACAATTTAAATTTTAATTCTATTGCAATATTACAATACATTTGAAAAAATATATTATATCTGATGAAATAGGCTAGTAAAGTTAAATTTCAAATTCAACTCAACAAAAATATTAGCATGATCCACTACGCTATATTTTTTTCTTCTTTTTTTTACAACGTTGTATTAAGTATTTCCCTTAATTTTTTATTTTATTTTATTAAAAGCTGATGCATACGAGCGCGCACGAGTGCGAGTCGTTGTTATGTGTCATCAAAGGTGTCCCTTATACACCATATTGTAATTTTGGCAATTTTTCGTGGAAATATTTAATATAAAAAAATCTATTTTTCAACCCTCGATAACTCAAAAGTACGCAGAGATAAGTGACAAGTATCTTCGCATGAAATACTCAGAATCACTTGTTTTATAACATGTGTGATCGGCATCTTGACATCGTTTAAGAATTTCGAAAAATTGACAGAAACGTAATTTCTTCCATACAAAAAATATGTATATATTTTTTTTTACTACGAAATAGACGTCGTAGGATTGTAATATTTTTTTGCCTTATTAGTTATCATAGCAGTAACCATCAAAAAAAATTTCGTGCCTCTAGCATCAATGTCCATGTTTTATTAAATCGGGACCACCGTGTGACGGTTGTCTTTGTGGCTCGTCTCTTTGACAAGTTTAGCAAACTCCTGCTAAACATTGCTTTGTGGAATTCTCGGACAAAGCACGAGCATTTTCATAACTTTTGTAGGTTTAATATTGCGCTAATGTAGAGTCGAAACAGTTTATTCTTTGACCGTCTTCAGTTATAATTTGCTTGCCTTTTTCTGGAAAAGGTTTTCATGGCGTAGGGTATCTAATAACTAGTTCCTAATCTAACTGTTAATATCTTAGGTCAGCAGCCCCAGTTGCCATCAGTACAATCACGATAGTTTTTCGTTGTGGTAACGACTAGTTACCGTAGCGTAGGTTTTTTTTTATTGGAAGAAAATTACGCTCTTTCATGATGAAAGAAAGGTTTCTGAAGATTTTTCAGTACTAACGGACTACTTAAGTATTTAAAGTTTCATGTGTCAACGATTAATGTAGCTTTACGTAGGTAACTATATCATAGCTGCATAGGTACAATATCCATGGATATAATCGTCTTTATGTGTACCTACGAGTACATGTAACTCTACCAAACCCTTTGTGCCTAGAACAAAAGCACAATTGCTCCAACTTCGGCCCTAAATTACGCCAACTAATTTCCCTCCCCAAGCAAAATACCTCTATAAAAATCTCTTAAACATTCCGTCCCCTCAGACGTAATAAAATACTATGAAATGGGGCCAACTATGAATACTGTTATGTTATTATGATATAGCGACAACGGTAAGCACTCCAACGATTGCGCGATTTGACTGCCAAATGTGGAAAATTGGAAGTGTATTGAGTTTTCGCGGTGGGGATGGGTTTAAGTCTTTTGAATGTTATTGTTTTTCACTTGTACTTTACTTATACGGTCTCTGTGGTCCAGTTGTTACATTGTGTAGAGTGTTTCATGTCTCTACATGGTGCAAACATTATTTTGTAACAAAGGTAGAGTTAAATTACAGTTTTTTGTATTTATTCTGAGTTTGGCAATAATTACATACCTAGCTACGTACTTATTCGATTCAAGTGCTCAAGTGTTACATTTTTAGAATTAGGTACTACTAGGTACCTATATGAAAAGCCTACGTAACCTTAGATTATGTATTTTTTTAAATGGTCATTGCGATATTCTAAAAAGAAACGAAAGTATATGAATAACTTTTGATTCGACTTTCCTTTGTCCGGGTCATCTGGAAGAGAGGATTTTTTTATTAATTTATTTATTTATAGGTACAACTACAGAATACAATACAATATTTAATACAATAATTATGTGGTGTATACCTAATAAAATGTACCTATATTTACCTGGCTTTTTTCTCAGTCCCCCAGTATCCCTGGCCATGGCGCTATCCCCGGCGCGCTACCCGCTGCTGTCGCCGCACTACGCGCCGCTGCCGCCGCCGCCGCCGGACTCGTCGCACGAGCCCGCTGCCGACTCCAACCGCCATAGTGACAGCGACGGTAAGTCACCAATAATTTAGTAGTAGACTACTGCTGGGGTGGAGAGCGAGAACGTCACAAGATCTCCTGATTTTTCTCACTTAGTCAAGCGTAATCTAGTCACCAGTCATGGGGCGGCGTTCAAAATATGTAACGCATTCGTGGATCTTTTACTAATGGTCAAAACTGAGCCAGCGACGGTGAGTCACTAACATTGCAGCCAAGATACAAAGCACGCTCTCCAGTATTTTCATCCATTCGCTGCCAGCTCTATCTATAGCGACAGGGACCATCATCATTGCAGCCAGCAACAGTCCACTGCTAGACGTAAGCCTCCCAAAAGTCCCTCCCATCAACTCCCGGTTGCTATGCTCTCAGCTCATCATCGCTGAAAATAAGTAACTCATCAAAGATTCGTATAGAAACATGTAAACTAGATCCTCCTTCTGGCGTAGTCAGGTAAAAAGGAGCCATATATTTTCATAAAGTTTATTAAGGCACCGGTTAAGGAAGGCAGACAGGAAGCACTATTAATAGTGCTTAATTAGGGACTTCCTAAGGTGTCGAGGTCGACATGGTTACGTCAATGTCTTTACTGGTGGAGACAACGGGACTAAACCAAATGTCTCTATCACTGTTTGATAAAGTTTGACTTCACATTGTCAATATGGACCTTGACCTTTCGACTGTGCTAAAATGGTCTCCTACGTTACAGATGACAGCATCGACGTGACAAATGAAGAAGACTCCACGTCGTACTCCCCGCCTTCTGTCGCGAGCTACCCTCAAAGCTGCGTACCTTACAGGTATAAAACACTTCATAATGTAGGTACTTAGACTACTGGAGCTGGAAAATATGTAATGTAGATTATAGAAAAAATATTTTTGTCTTTAGGGAATAATACACTAACTACGTACATAATACATTACCAGACGAAGGAAGGAATTAATGATTTGCGAAATATTATTTCCTATGCGCAATACGATACCTAAGTAATCTCAATGCATTCCTTTGGCTTTTCGTGTGACTCGTAAGATAACACAACCACACATTTACCTAGATCTAGGTACATTAACTAATCGAACGATAATAAACTAAATGTAATTAACCGACTTCAACAAAAGGAGGAGGTTCTCAATTCGGTTGGTATGTTTTTTACATTAACTTTTCAAAGTCAAGTGTGAATTATTATGAATGACCATAAAAATAAGTAAGTTATAAGTAAGAAGTTCTGCTGCAGATGTTGTTTTAACATAAAAACTATTTGTTTTCCAGACCTTTGGGTGTCGAAAGTGCAGCAGAAACGGCAGCCAGACTGCTGTTCATGGCAGTAAAATGGGCTAAAAACCTGCCGTCCTTCGCCAGTCTTGCGTTTAGAGATCAGGTAAGAGAAGACTAGCTTTTATACAGGGTGTTCCTGTAGGTGTATGGATTAAACATATAGGACAGATTCTACTATGCAGATAAAAACTTTCCTGCAAAAAACAGTACCTATCCAAATTCTCAAACATAATTGGTACGTCCCCATATTATTGACAGCCTGTATTTTAAACTTATTAAAAATCTATCTGCTCCCTCTGAGAGTAACTTGTCTTCTGTTACTATACCCTTGGACGAATAAGTAAGGATTGTTGACACCATTAGTCAGTTCTCACATTTCGTAAGGATTCATCTTTGGGTAGAAATAGTGACTCGTCTATATCTACCCAATTTAACTCGTAATTAATATTTTTTGGGGAAAGCACAAGATAACTATGAGACCAAGTAGAAGAACGTAGTTTATCACGTAAATAAAGTTTAAAACTTTAAGTGGAACGTTAAAAATAAAATTCCTACCGTCAACAACAACGTCCTGTAGTGTCTATANAAGTGTACATAAGTGTTGTTAGAGTCAAATCTTCTTCCAAGTAAAATAAAAAAATGTATAAGTATTAATTTATTTACTTTTAACAATAAGGTATAACTTTTAACAATATGACATTGCTATGAAAAACATTTCGATGTACACTTAAAGTTAATACCTACCTATTATTTAGTTTTTCTGAGTTAAACCTACGCACCTACCTATCTTTTCGCCGTTCCCATGGGCGGGCCAGCTGCTGCAGGAAGGACAGCCGCTCCGTGCTGGAAATCTATTTAATCTTAGCCTAGAAGCTGGGTATGACTACCCCGCCCCTCTCCTCTCCCCAGGTCATAAACTGGGCATGACTTCCCCCTCGGCCAGAAGTTGGGTATGNACATTATTCTTTGAGGTAAATATCAATAAAATGGCTTACAATAATGACGGCTTTTATTTAAAATCCAAAAAGTTACAAAAAAGCCATATTAAGGCCTTTCAAAACTAATTTATTTTTCTGGGCTATTCACTCTAATGACCAATACATAGATAAATAGTAAATATCTGTTAATGTCGAAATATTGCCAAATAAAATAGGCGATTTTTTTTCATTGATGGTCTGATGACATGATGCAACTATAGTTAAATTTTCGCTATTCAATCACACACTCACGATTGCAGCCGAAATTGAATTGATCTGCCCCCTAGACAAGTGGCAAAATCTGACATTCTATTCGGACGGATTCAATTTTCCAAAAGTGTGACTAGTCTATTCTACTACGAGCCCCAATGCAAAATAGTTCGTCTAGTATGAAAAATAAGATAATTATGTAATAATGTGAAATGAATTTGGGTAAAGTAATTAAGAAAGTTAAGAAGAAAGTAAACCACAATTTGAGTAACATTCCAAAGTTTATTTTAACGTATCTCAAAATCTTTCATGACCTTAGTTATCATAAATAAATAAAAAAATATACTGAAACAAATGACGCAAAAATGTTCGTCTACCATTGGCTCTCAAGCAAAATAGTTCGTCTACCACTTAGTTCTGTCGCCTTTGCTTTCAATTACTGCTTTAATGCGAAGAGGAATGGTCGCAACCAACGCTGCACACTCGTCGGTCGTAATTGACTCCCACACAGCCAAGAGTTTAGCCTTCAAGTCGGTCTTCGATCTTGGTGGATTTTTGCGAAGGACTTGGACTTGGACACCATAGGGTCTCAATCGGCGATCATTCCGGGCTGTTAAATGACCATTCGATGGTTGGGATGCTCTTTGACAGCAGCCATGTCTTTGTTGTCGTTGCAGTATGTCAGAAGGCACCGTTTTGTTGAAAAATGAAAGAATCTTGATGTTTGAGTAACGAAATGGAGGACAATAGACTTTCTTCCAAAATAGTTTGGTATCTTGTTGCATTGATGGAACCATCCACAAACTGCATCCCACCAACACCTTGTGCAGACATGCAGCCCCATCTCATAAGAGACGCTGGAAACTTGACTTTTCGTTTAATGCAATCGGTATGAAATGCTTCATGTTTATTTCGAACCACTTTTTTTCTTCCATCGCCCACTGTGACTTCAAATTTGGACTCTTCACTCCATATGATGCTACGCCACTGTTCAGAAGTCCAATTTAAGTGATCACGAGCAAACTTCAATCTCTTTTTCTTTTGTAAGGCTGTCCATAGGGCTTTCTCTTTAGCTGTATAAAATCCGACCCCATTCTTTTCAACACTCTTTGCTCAACTGAGAATTTTTTGTCAATCAAGTCTCCATTGCACCGTGACTTCTCCAGCTCGAGCACGACGATTTTTTTTGTCAATTTCCTTAAGAATTCTGTTTTCTGTTTTACTGGTATTTCTATTATTTTTATAGTGCTGAATGATAGATTGCACTGTAGATCTGGGCAGTGTCAAGTCTTTCGAAATTTGGTAACTTGATTTGCCCATTTCAATCCCAAAAACTACTTCTTTACCCACTGGTTTGCCACGCACGACCCATTTTTACTTGAAAACTGAAGAAATTAACAGAATTTTTCAGAAATTTATACTATCCCACTTGTAAAAATGACTCAGAATTACTTTTCCAAACGTAAACTTTTAAAATTGAATTTAAAAAAGGGTAAAAAATATTTAACTCAATGATAGACAAACTCTTTTGCATCGATTAACAACTATACGAACTATTTTGCTTACGATTTTCTCGACTTAAAAGCACGGTATCTCTTAACTTAAAAGGCTGAAACAGTTTATTGCTTCAACATTAAATAGTGCATAAGTAACCGAACATGAGATGGTAGAATAGTTTTTATGTTTACGTAACTGGACAAAAATAATTAAGTAAGAAAAAATCTTTCTCCATGTTTTTCGTACTAGACGAACTATTTTGCATCGGGGCTCGTAATAGACCCACTGATCGCGTTCGAAGCACCTGTGCTATACTATACTCGTAACGACACGACGTGCAACGAGACAATGGGCCAACTATCCGGCCGCCGGATATCCGGCTATCCGGCCTAGCTGCAGGCCGGATATCCGGTATCCGGTATCCGGCCAAACAACTATCCGTTTCATCTCTAGTCTATATCTACCCAATTTTACTCGTAATTAATATTTTTTGGGGAAAGCACAAGATAACTATGAGACCAAGTAGAAGAACGTAGTTTATCACGTAAATAAAGTTTAAAACTTTAAGTGGAACGTTAAAAATAAAATTCCTACCGTCAACAACAATGTCCTGTAGTAATAATAAGCATCTTCTCTCTACCAGGTCATCCTCCTAGAAGAAGCGTGGTCGGAGTTGTTCCTTCTCAACGCCATCCAGTGGTGTCTGCCGCTAGACGCCGCCTGCGCAGCGCTCTTTGGCAGCGACCAGACTGACCAAGGTTGGTAGTGCTTCTTAACCGTTTGTACATTTGCCATCAGCGACTAGTGACCAAGGTTGATGTCAGTTTTGCCATCATCGACCATAGCTTGATAAGCTTTAGCTTCCGGTTTCGTGACGACTTACCTACAGTCCCTTTAGTAGTTTTTGCGTAAAAGTATAAGTAAGTAGTTAGTATCTTCCATCCTTAAGTATCGCCTCAAAAAATTATTAGATTGCTATTCCTCCTAACAACCAGTGTCGGATTAACCTATAAGCAAATTAAGCAATTGCTTAGGGCATCACGTCTTGTGCCATAAACAGCACCAAATATCAAATCTTATCCAGTATTTTGGTAACCCTTCCTTTGCTTCCTTCTTCTTGAAATTTCTATCTTCGTCCAGTAGTCTTATCTTCGTCAACTACGACGATTTTTTTCCCTTCAAATTCTAATTCTTCTACTTCTTTAAATTGCTCCATGTGGTACCTACTTCTTGCTGCTTATGAACCTAAGTAAAAATATATCTGTATTAGTAAAAGTATCAAAATTATATTTTCCAACAGAGAACGGCATCAACTCGGCGGCGCTCCGACGTCTTCGAGAAGTCTTAGCGCGGTACAGAGCTGTTCTGGTGGACCCCGCCGAGTTCGCCTGCATGAAGGCCATAGTTTTGTTTAAATCTGGTGAGTTTTATGTAAGCCGTTACTATAAATCAGAATCGTTAATATAAATCAGAATCGCTAAAATCAAGTGGCAGTGGGCGGGGCACATAGCTCGAAGAGCTGATGGCCGCTGGGGCAGGAAAGTTCTTGAGTGGCGACCACGAGCTGGAAGACGTAGCGTGGGCAGGCCTCCCACTAGATGGACCGACGATCTGGTGAAGGTCGCGGGAAGTACCTGGATGCAAGCGGCGCAGGACCGGTCTTTGTGGAAATCCTTGGGGGAGGCCTTTGTCCAGCAGTGGACGTCTTTCGGCTGAAACGAACGTTACTATAATAAGTATTAAGCAGCTTCGGAAAAACTTCCTCCAGAGATAAGTAGTTACAAATTGACGGACCTACTTATTCATAAGAACTGACGAATACTGACGATGCTCTCCAGAGCCCATCTGGAACTAGAAATTGTCTGGGGTTTAAAGCCAGTCAATGTTGATGATCAATGCTGGGAATTACTATTACAACTCCTTTGGAGCAAGGATCTACAGCATGGAACTCAAAAGTACTTACATAATAAAGGTTGAGAAAACCTGGAAGATAGCTTTAATCAAGACCATTCAAAGCAAAAATTGTAGACAAACATTACTATGAGGTTTCACAGTAGGTAGGTACGCGTGGACACACAAGGTGACACACGAACCAATCACAAAGCTCTATTCAACGCTGTGCGTTCGATTTGCTGCATCGTCGTTTGTGAATACGGGCATAAACAAGTAAGTTTCTTGCGTAAGTATTTCACATCACGACTAAAATGAACGATATCTTCGTCCACAGAAACACGAGGCCTAAAAGACCCCCTCCAGATCGAGAACCTCCAGGATCAAGCTCAAGTGATGCTGATGACCCACGCGAGGACCGCCCATGGTACTGCCCCCGCCAGGTTTGGAAGACTTCTGTTACTTCTGCCACTTCTACGTCTAGTCAGCCCACAGCAGTTGGAGAAGGAGTTCTTCTCGAAGACTATTGGACAGACGCCGATGGAGAAGGTATTGGCTGATATGTATAAAAATTAGATGGTTTACTTATGTGGTGGTATTGCTGTTCCTTCTTTTGCCTGTGAAGAAGTCTAAAAATATGATAAACGAGGAGGTATTGCTTTTCTTTCTTCTGTCAGTTCTATGAAGAAGAAATTGGTCTTCAAGAATAAGACAGAAGCGATTGGAGATTATCCTGGCTGATAATGTAAAGAAAAAATGCTTCTTTCTTTCTCTTTCTCCCTTGGTTTAACGGCAACCTATGTGGTGGTGTTACTCCATTCTGCCAGTCCTACGAAGTAGTAGAACTTCTGTTCTTCTCCGAGAACAGAATAGACTATAGGACCGACCGACCGGGTGGTCGACAATGAACCAGTAGTACAGAGTGAACCACGTTAAATATCTTGCTTCCTTCTTTTTCCCTTCTTGATTGAACGACGGAAGAGTTTTTACTTCATTTGTTATTAATTGATAAGACCACAGATAAGACGAAGTTAAAATTTAGACTAGTCGGTTATTTAACTATGTACCTAGCTACCTACTCAATTAATGTAAATAGTTTCGCTTAGATTTTAATAAATGGCCTCAAATTGTTGGTTATTAATTTAAAGAAGATCATTGTAAAAATATTAAATAAGTAATACTTAGGTAAGTAGTTAAGTGTAGATATTGGTGTATGTGAATTGTATCTTAAAAGATTTGCCTTCTTCCTTTTTGAAATTATGGAAACTAACTTTTTTATCTGATATTAAAAAAGCTTCGCGAATTTGTTTTAAATGAGTCCTAATTAGTTTTAAAGTATTTACTAAGTGTAAAGCAAAACTACTTAAGTACCTAGGTCGTATAGAAAATAAATATGTATGTGAATAATTAGCAGTAGATTAAACTACTAAAAATATGAATGTGCCAAATATACGTTTGTAGTTTCCATTATTACAATAAAATGTTAATATATTTTAATTTAAAGTAGTTTAATATGTGAAAAACTGCCAAATTGTGTAATATGCGCCAAAAATGTAACTTGATATTTAATAAACTAAATGTAAAATAGATAACGAGTATTTATTTGACAAAATGGGAACTCCATTAGTTAACCTAAATAGGTAGGTACACTCACTCCATAGGTACTTTCTGTGAAAAATTAAAATTAAATTGTCTGTCTAGGCCTACCTTGATAGGCACAAAAGGTTCCCGTTAAAATCGTTGGAGACGGAACAAATGAACTTTAAAAAGTAAAAAAGAAAACAAAGTGTGTAGATAAATAGATAAACAAATACTACATTGAACACACAACACAGTGAAAGAAACAGATAGGTACACAAAAGAGTCGACACAACTAAGGCGGTCTTATCGCTATGTAGCAATCTCTACCACACAACCTAGGGAGAGGACAGTTTAAAACGTTGTTGTCTAGCTACATAGGTAAACTAAAGAATAAAAGTTTTTAATTTAGGTTGGTAATAACAAACTACTACTAAGCAAAAAAACAATTGAAGTTCCTTTAAATACTTTACAAAATCACAAATTCGACGTCCCTATGTTGATGGGCAGAAGGTCATTGCATAAGCCGCAGTGAATCATTGGTGAGGTATTCCCAGTACGTTTCTTGTCGCAAGACTAAATAACTTTTCCTGTTTTGAACGAAACAATTCCTTTTAATCCCAAGCATGACTATTTTAGATTAGGCTTACTTCTTATTGGTGTCGCAGGCAGCGTGCGAAATTCGGAAACTTTCAAAATCACTGAGACGAACATGCAGGTAACAAAATTATCACCCTGTATTATGTAGGTGTTTAATGTTTCTATTTATAAGAAATATTTTTGATAACACTAAATAAAATAAAAGCTTCTGTTATTCGAGAAACTGCCTTGGCATTGGCAAATAATAATGGTAAAACCATAAGACACTTTATTGATTTATTTTTAAACCTGTTTTTCTGTCCGATTAGTCTTTAAAACAGATTAGTTGGATGAATTTATAAAATTAGGTTGAAGCTGGCATTTTACTACTAGAATGAGGATCATTTCGATTTTTAGCTGTGAATGCAGATTTATAGGGCTAAGAAATCCTTAATACACAGTGCAAAAATTTTTGTTCTACGACAAAAATTGACGAAGTTATGGCCAAATTACTAAAAAAGTTCACTGACCGCCCGGCGCGGGGACGATGACGTCATTATATCCGATCCGAACGCTGCCGGCGTACTGCGTGGATAGAAAATATTTTTTTCTAGCCAAATTATCAGTTTTAGAGAAAAACTTGTAATGACATTTATTCATCAGAATAAAGTAAGCTATCGATAGGTAATTTTTAAAAATGGAAATTGTGAAAAATAACGCAAAAAATCCATACGCTCATACGATTCAATGGCACGCAGAGACGCGATTGGGGTCTCCGCGGTGGTATATTTGGCGATTTATTCAAATAAAGTGTACATAAGTGTTGTTAGAGTCATATCTTCTTCCAAGTAAAATATAAAAATGTATAAGTATTAATTTATTTACTTCTAACAATAAGGTATAGCTGAGGCAGATACACTCTGCCTAGGCTACAAGACATTGCTATGAAGATCATTTCGATGTACACGCAATACCTATGATGATGTCGGTTATGTTTCCCCCCAGGCCAGAAGCTGGGTAAGGCTAGCCCCTTCCCCCAGTCCATAAGCATAAGCTAGGTATGACTCCCCCTCGGCCAGGCTATAAGCTGGGTATGACTTTTCCCCCCCCCCAGGCCAGAAACTGGGTATTAGCATCATATTATGTATTATTATGTTCAATACAAACAATCATTAAGTTACACTCACCCCAACCGCGTCTCCGCATTGCATCGAATCCTATGAAAATGTGGTTTTTGGACATAGCAATACTTATTTTTCTCAATTTTTATTTTTAAAAATTACTGGTCGATAGGTTACTTTATTTTGAAGAATAAATGTTATAAAAAGTTTTTTTCTAAAACTGATAGTTTAGCCGGAAAAAAATATTTTCCATCCCATTAGTACGCCGGCTGCGCTCGATTCGGATATAATGACGTCACGCGGCCTTGCGTACGTTGACTTTTAGCGGCAAAAACGGCCTATGTTTATTACTTAATATCTTCGTAAGTAATGGTCCGATTTGGATAATTCAAAAAGATATATCTTTCTTATGTCTTAAAGATTAACGTAGATACTAGTTTTATTGAATTTTCTACAACAGTACTGATCCTCATTACATAATGTAAGACGTATCAGTTAAGTTCCCAAGTGACAAAAGACAAAACTGGTAAAAAACAGTCTTAAAGAAGAAGGATGTATCGCTACAAAGCGGATTGCGGTGAATGCCCGCGCCCCGTAACCTGATGATGCTGTAACTATTCTGAGAGAGCAAAGACCTCACCATTAGGAATTACCAATTGCCGAGTGTAGAATAGCCTATTGGAACGATCTCCCATTTAATTCTATCACCGTTACAATGATTTGCCTCTTTTCTACTAAAACAGTTTTTGTCAAAAAGTGACCTCTTGAAAAAATGCAATGCAAACATTCTTTTTTGAAAATGTCAGATCACTCAATCCCTCATGGTTTAAAAAAATGAAATGAACAAAAATCTTATTGAAATGAAAATATAATAGACATTATTTTAAACATTATATTTTATTAATTAAAGGCACTTTTTATCACACAAATATAAAATCACAACATTCTTACATTGATTACTTACATGTTACTTTTAAAATAATGTACATTCTCTAAAATAGTCAGCGTCGTCAGCTAAGTACTTATTAAAAATTCACTTTTGTAGCAAAAACGCAAGAGTTAAGAATTATCGAACTAAAAGAACATAATTACGGTGACCATAAAACGACATCTGCAAAAACATGAGTATTTATCTCATAGGGCATATTAAATTAAAATTGGCGCGAAACTAACAAGCAATCACGTTGAAATTCGTAGAAAAACCAAGTTAGGAGGAAAATAACAATATTTAACTACTACAAGCATAATTAGTTGCTTCTTAGTTTTGCAATGCCTTATTTGGCTTCGGAAAATAACTGTAATTTAACTAGACGTGCCCGCGACTTCGTACTTTTGCGTGAAAATAGTTTGAATATTTCCCGTTTTTACAAGATTTTTCTTGTCCACGCTTATTGACTGTAATGATGTTAAAGCCTAAAACCTTCTTCGATAAATGGGCTACTACATAAAAATATATTTTCAAATCGGACTGTTACTCGTAGTTCCTAAGATGAGCATGTTTAAGCTAGCAAACAAACTCTTCAGCTTTATAATATTAGTAAGTAAGTATACTTAGATGTACATCAATTCTAAGACATTTCTTTTACAAAATCAGAGTATTTTAAACTAACGTCGTAATTTTATACTAAAAGACGTGACGTGACACGATATTATTAATTTTACGTGCAAGTGACACACATTTTTGTTGAAAAATCGCTTTTATTACAGCAATTTAAGATGCCACTTAGCTTGTCGCGCCTGTGTTACGTTTAGAGACAAGGTCACCATTATGAAATGTGTAAAAACCAATCGGCCATAGGTATTATATTAAGTATTTGTTGAGACAAACTAGTTTTATAATGACCACAACATTTTAATAAATGCAAATATTGATCTTATTGGTACTGCATAAATATTGATAAAAAATCTATAAATCGTTTCAATATGGTAAAATTATAGACACAATTTATTTGTAGAATGGTCATTGTTAATATTTACACTAATTAAAATAGGTAGTAATTAAGATAGTAGTCAGCGTCAAATAGTTCGTGGCACCGAAAGTAGCCAATAAGTTGGCAACACGTCTTTGTTACAATGGAATAAGGTTGTTTTATCAACTTTTTGGCCACTTTGGGTGTCACGAACTATTTGACGCTGACTGTACTATTTGGCCACAGTTCCAGCTATACATTTCCGGTCATGTCGTCTCGTTCTATCGCAAAGAATCACCATTCGATGAGAGCGAGAGAAAAAAGGAAAGGAACTGTGGCCCACTGTAACATAATTTTTTGAGACTTCCTTGATTAATCTAAATGACAAAAATATGCATTGAAAAACCTCCTACTGTTTGAAGTTGGTTAACAGATCCAATTGAGATTCAGGAAATAAATAAATATATTACAATTATTACTAAACAGATTCTAGTTGTGTCCAAAATTATTAAATCAAAACAATATCTTAGTTAAACAATCTATTTTTTGCTACAAAACATACGAAAATACATCTTATTGCAAGCCATTACATACTATTTCAGGAAATAATATTCTTATTTATGTACAAATAACGTGCGACCTCTGATCTTTTTTGATATGAATGAACACAGGCGTCTCATTACAGTGTCAACAGACAAGGTTAAAATAAAGCTATGTGATGATCTGAGTGACCATGAAATATTGTCATGTTTTTATAAGGAACATAAAGATCTCATAGATAACAATCTCATTTTAAATTATTAACTGTTCTCAGCCAAAAAGTTGTGACAATTTTTTTGTGACAATACCAGCTGATTTTTAATTTGTGACCTCTAGGCACTTTGAGTAAAGTCTGTTTTTGTAGTGTACTGACTACTGTTACATGCTTAGTTTCCGCTTTGAAACAAACATTAATTTTGTCTTAATTGTTCTGGTTGTTAGATACCCATTACTTACAAAATGATCTATCAGAAGGTGGTTGGTAATTCTCTAATGACAGATAAAATTAAAAATATCATTTTGCTGGTCAAATATAAATAATGTTAGTGAGTAGTTCATCAGATACATTTCTTCATATTAAAATTAAATTATTTTCAAGAATCCAAATTGAAAACCTCAATTTCATTGAGACATTTGATTTGAAAACATTAAATAAATCTGTTTATAAAATTTTAATTGCTAATAAGGATGGATTCTCATCACAGACGGAACGGAATGTATTTTTATCCCTAAGTTGTGGTTGTGACATTTTTTATGGTCTAGTTTAAAAATAATGAGTAATCTCCACAAATAAAGGATGTAGATAACATTATTTAAAATCAGTACAAAGATGGTTCTTGGTAAAATCCACCGAAGACAATAGAGTTTGTCACCCTCTCAACGATCATGTAAGTGAAAGGCCGGTTTGCTTCAAAACGGATGACACCAAAGCGATTACTGAATTCTGCTGCAGTCACACCAGTCGCGACAGTTCCCACCTCCGTCACTTCTATTTCTGCCTTGTGTACCATTTTCGACACATACAGAGGGGTTCTTGCTATTTTAGATAACCTGGCTTGCTCAGAGTCAAACAAATCAGTAATACCAAATTGTCTCCTCAAGGTCTCTGTCATATCAATAGTCGATTCAATCTTGAAACGAGGAAGGAAACAGTCCACCTCGTCTTCACCGTAATCTTCTCTTGCAATCCTTAGTTCGGTGAAAACTTTGTCTAACGTTACATTCTTGAAGTTGAAGAACATGTTTTCTAGTGATACCCCGGGATGAGGGACCATGACGAGCATAGACAGACGATTCTCTTGACCGTACGGCAACTCAATAACGCGAGCTTGAAGATCCTTGAGGTTGGCAAACGGATATGTATGTCTATTGTACATCATGTTGACTTCACCAATTTTCTTTCCATCGCTGCTGTAGAACGGCATTTTTGACGTGCTCGATGAATTAAACGGCACGGTCCATTGTCCTTTGAAGTACAGGGCGCTCGTCAACACCATTATGGAGTTTGAAAATAGTTCAGGCGACACTAATTTAGGTATCCTACCGCGCGTTGCAGTTTCAATCGCCTTGTTTAGGCTGTCAGCTGCTAATTCAGCTTTGCTGAAATCTAGAGCAACCAAGTTGGTGTCGTAGAAATTTTTGGCTAGATCTCTGAAGTCTTGTTCGGGCAGGCGTTGCTGATCAATGAACATGGCATTCACCTTTGCAAGATCAATGGTAGCTGTTTTGACTTGTAACCACTTCGCCAGATCTATGTACTCCATTTTGGTAGTGTCTTGTGTCCTTCTCGTAAGACGAATAGCGTTGTTTATCTGGGCTAGCGTGTTTCCAACGGCGCCTTCCGCCACGACTGCTAAAATGGTCCATACAGTTATAGGAGATATAATCAGATTTTTCTCCTTCGGTTGCGCTTTCGACGTGTGATATAAGAGTTCGAGGGAAAAATTGCCGATTTTTTCCGTGAGTCCATTGTGCAAAGTCGGAATTGTGGAATTACCCACAGACTGTCCGCAACACACTGTGATTAAAAACAACACAAAACTCAGCACGAGCACCTTCATTGTGAGTATTTTTTTGCTAACACACACTAATTAACATTAAATTTGTTTATTTTAGAGTTAATTAAAACAAAACACGATTTGTCAGCGGTAACGCAACCACGAACGCTGCAGGTTCGCGACGGTATGATTACGATGAGGAAAACTGACCGGTTTGATGCCAGGCAGACCTCTTTGTGTGTTGTCGTGGCCACTACGTATTTATTTTATCCGGTTTTATTTACATTTACAAACTTAAAGCTGGGCACAGTAAAATACCGATTTTAAAATTGACATGCCAGTTTGACAGCTGACGGTGACGCATGGGGACTGGGGTCCGATTCACCGTTTCGTTTTATTTTTAACTGGAAAATGATTTTACTACTTTCCAGTTTTTTTTTCACCAAAAAGTGTAATATTAATAATCTGGGGGCACGGCAGTGCCCCCGCCAAGTCGAGCGCGAAGCAAACACTGCCGTACCATCTTTACTGGAACCATTTCGCCGCATTTTCAGGCCTCTATTTGAGAACCTCTGGATATGACCAGAACGCAGAAATTTTTGTCATCTAGTAAGCTATAATCACATACTTAAAATCCAAAATTTCAAGTTTGTAGGTCAATTAGTTCCGAAGTTAAGCGAAAGCAAAGTTTCGCATTTATGACACTCACTCACTCACTGATGATCATCAAAATAGAACTAGTACTTCCCATTAACTCAGAGAGCTGAAATTTGGTACAGAGTTAGGGTTTAATGGCCACATAAAGGGAAAACTATAAAAACTAGGAAAATCGAAGATCTGGAGTAACACCACATTCATAATAATCAATACTACTAGCGCCACACCGGCGCCGTGGTGTTCGCCTGTACCGCTCACCGCTAGATGGCGCTAGCACTTTGAGCGTCGATTTTCTGCACCGCGGTGTCCAGATTTTTTTTCCCCTCTAGTTATTATTAAATCAATTCTGATTCGTTGTCCTTTTTAAAGATGTGTTTAATATCGTAAAAAAAATGACGATAATATTAAAGGACGACGACGTTAAATAATTATGCCACATTCTACAAAAAGAAGTGAAATCCCACCAAAAACATTCTGTAAAAAACTAGCCAAGTCTCGATGGAGCTGCTTGTTTATCTCTAAAAAGTAATGAAATCTAGACAAAGTCGTGCCAAGTCTATGGTTCTTTACTGCGATTTCTATCCCACCAAAAACATTCTGTAAAAAATTAGCCAAGTCTCGATGGAGCTGCCTGTTTATCTCTAAAAAGTAATGAAATCTAGACAAAGTCGTGCCAAGTCTATGGTTCCTTACTGCGATTTCTTTATTATTATATTTAATGTTGTGTGACTTGGCCGTTGAACAATCTTTATTAAGATAATCATACATAAGTATTATTGAAATACGCAGCTTTATTAAGCCTACAATTGACTGGTTATTGCATCAACGTTTTCCAAGTGCAATTTATTTTCCATCGTCAATGGGTAGCGGATTTGGTGATAGATTGGTGCAATGGTGTCATGGAGCATCTGGTTTGGTACCCTTCAACGGCCAAGTCACACAACATTAAATATAATAATAAAGAAATCGCAGTAAGGAACCATAGACTTGGCACGACTTTGTCTAGATTTCATTACTTTTTAGAGATAAACAGGCAGCTCCATCGAGACTTGGCTAATTTTTTACAGAATGTTTTTGGTGGGATTGACTTTACAGAAAACGATTAGGTAATATTGCTTTATTAAAAAATATTATATGTAATAGCGTAACTACCGTATCCATGATGACTATAATACCCCCAAATACCTACGCCACATACTTTTAAATATTTCATGCACAAAAATAACATTTCTTCGCTGTGAAAGCGTGTAAAACTCCAATTTTTATTGCCGTCAATATGCCTTCATTAAATTTTGGTTTGTGATGTTAAATAAGTAGGTAATTTTAAAAGGCGCGCGCGTTTTGGTCGCATCAATGCGGGCGAAACCAAGGATAAAAATTAGTTAAGTACCTATTATTCAATACCTACCTAGGTTTCTACATTTACTTAACTAACTAGTACTTACATTTTTATTTAGTCATCAGGAACGGCTGATCTGCAGAATTGGGGACTACTTAACTCAGAAACAGTGAAAAACCCAAATATTTAAAACCTTCGCACTTTATCGTTTGGATTATTTTATCACATGAATTTTAAGTGGCCATCTTTCACTAATGACGTCCCAACGATTGCGCCCGCATCGCATCATTGCATTGACGTCATTTCCAAAGAAAATGGCTCCGCGTGGGGAATCACATTTTAAAGTTACCCTCATTAGAGATGTCTTTCCCTAATCTGTGTACAAATAAATTAGAGCAGGAAAACTATAAATTATCCAACAGCTGACGAGACGACTGACGATGACTNACCCGGTGCCCAACAGGCGTAAACGCTCTTAAGCATTCACGTCACATCGATATCGCTTCTTTGTGACGCTAACGCTCCAGAGTGCCCCTGAATCGACGACGCGAAGAAAAATAGCCGCTTTCAAACCGCGGCGCCACTCCGCGCTTTTTATTTTCTCGTGAATTAATTTGCTTACTAAGTGCTGCGGGGAAAATTGTGCCAGGATTTTCAGCCTGTCAATTGACGTCGCTCGCGCTGGGAATGTTTGTGTTTGAGAGTGCTTTGATAATTTGTATCGCGTCGAGATTGCGAGTGTATGTGGTTTGCGTCAGATGCGCGCGATACGGTGAAAAAGCGGGCCCGAAAAGCGACCGACATTACCGGCAATGGGTTTATCAAACAGCGAATGCGTAATTTTATCGATACTCGTTTTGTGAGCGCGAACGCTGTTCGTGATGTTTTTTGACTACGTTTCAAATTGCAACCATTTAAAAATGGAGTTGTAATAAAATGTCCCTATAAAATTGTTTATTCGCTCTTACTGACTGCACACATAAATGGACGTTTCCCTCCGGTACAAATTGAGTTATTTGTTGTAATATTTTATTGACTAATATTTTTTATTGCAGAATGGAGTGGAGGGGGGAATGGGGAGTATCGTGTGCGAAGACAGCTGTCAGTGTCGTCCGACTCCAAACTCCTGGACGAGGGTGCGAGGGAAGACGCCCGGGTGGTCATGAGGCCTAAAAGGCCGCCTAGGCCCAAGTCAGAGGCCTTTTTAGGGCCGCATGACCACTCCAACCGACGCACCAAGCGATTTAGTGCCTTTGGGGTAAGTGCTGTTTTATGAGTATTCTTCTAAAATACTTCATTATATCTGTTAGTCAAAACTCATAATTGGTGAAAACCACTTTTGACTGCTAAAATTTTGACCGATTATGATTTTTGACTGTAACATATTAACATCATTACCAAAATGGAAATACGTAAAATGAAAATCCAAATTAATCTGAATCGATAACATCAATAGGTTCTCTCGAATATAAAAGCAGCCCCATAACGTAGGTAAGCATTGCGAATTTGCGATCGGGTGCCAAGTCCCGAGATTTATCCGTCGCTATACATTATACATTCCAATGGATATTGAAATTAAGCCATTGAGAATTCTATGAATGTACATACATTACAGATGCAATATTTCAAATCCTGTAATAGCAATGTTATTGAGACAAGAATATAGTCCACAATCGCTCGCAAACGAAGCAATAGAAAATATTACGTGAATTTAGTTTCAGTAATTTCGTCAAGTTCAGTCACTGGTAATACAGTTGTATGTACGAAAAAATGGTTTCCTGATTCTTCCGGTGTTGGATACCTGTGCCGTATATCACGGAAAAATGAGCCAAAAGGACATCCACATTCGTAGCATGATTTGCATAGGATTGCTCTCTTCGTGTGCGGTCACTCGTAACGTAACAGAATAGTATGGTAACTACAACTCGTAACGTAACAGAATAGTATGGTAACTACAATGAATAATGATAAATGACTCCTTAGAGCACTAAGGAGTACCGGAGACCGGGAACACCCGGTGTTGGAAATACCATATAGATTTATAGATGACCTACTGTCGCTCGAAAAAGATAAGCAAGAGTCATGTAGTTCCAGTCATTTGCTCAGGATCGCTGTCTCGCCGAGTGCGGTCACTCGTAACAGAGTCGCATGTATGGTAACTACAAAGAATAATGATAAATGGCTCCCTGGCGCTCGCGGTATCGCTCTGTACAAATAGGCGAGCGCCGACGTTGATATATGGTACGATTAAGATTGGATCTTTGTAGCAATTTTGGCGGCGTCGAATTCACGCTGCCTCGCGCTAATTCCCAAGTTGACTGCCGATTTAGCTGGAAAAGATCTAGTGCTCGCGAGAAACTTTTTTACGGAGTTTTTCGTTTTGTTAACTGTTCACGAAGAGATTTTGTTGGGACTTTTCGGGGTGATGTTTATCGCAATGTTTTTTAGTAGTGCCAACCTACTTTTAGTTTGCGACGACGACAAAATGTAGGGCGTATCTCCAGGACTTAATTTAAGTCAATCACATAATTATTTTGCTTAAATCTTCCTCATTTTTGAGGGTTTCTTAACATAATATCGACGTTAAAACTCATCTATACAATTAAGATTAGTCTACTCTATTTTCCTTTGGCGAAGTAACATCGATAAATTAATAATTACAAAATGTAAACACGTATGAACACGGCCTTATACAGGGTGTTGATTTCAATACCCGCCATATTTAGGGAGTAGATTAAGTAGCTTATTCTGATCACGAATCAGCAAAAAAACTGACTTCCAAATTTTTTATTATTATTTTTTAAATATCTACGATTTCCATAATCGACCACTACAGTGCAGAATAGTCCCCCAACGCAAACGGCGCGCGGCCGCTCACCCGGTGACCCGGGCAAGCGCTGCGCCCCCCGTCCCGCGCCCCACTACCCGCGCTCGCCCATGAGTCAGTCAACTATCAGCCACAATCAGCTGTGAGTTCAAAGACGACTACTGGACAGAGCTTAATCCAAATCTACCCTAAAAATGTAATGAGTAAATTAGTTACTTACACCTTATCATGTTACGAGTTTATTTGTTGTTCTAAAAACTAATTAATTAAGTACTCTTTAATTAATAAAAAAACCTTTTACACGAATTTGCTTCCTTCCGCAAAATAATTTTTTTTACAGAACCTACATTATTATTATTTTTTAATTAAACCATGCTTTTATGTGTGTGATAAGCTTGTACCTACTTATCATTCAAAAGTACTGTAAACAGATGACAATAATGCTCTTTCATACAGGTTCGTTATTCCTTACATTTCCAGCTCTCTACCTTAATAACTTTTACGTCTTTACGATAGTAATTATTAAAATAAAACTTAACTTACTTAATACCGCAAACTGAACACCTAGAAATAACACACTGGCAAACTCTTGTTCCTTCACTTTCGATAGGAGATAAGACAAGATTTTGTTTTTAAACTCGATTGATTTCAGTACCTAAACAAAATTTCATATCTTAAAAGAAAATTTCATATCTTTCATTTGGAGCGGTGACTTGTAATTGAATACAATAATGTTCGTACCACACGTATTACAAAAAATGGTTAAATGAAGACTTACCGTTCTATATAAAATCGCTGATTTTACTGCCTGTTACGAAAAAGTAATCCCACAAAACACACACGTTTTCACTAATTTTCGCGATAGATGTTATGGCGGAGACGTCAGGCCAACAGCCATTCAGAGTGCAGCTATTGTTGTCCGTGTAAAATAAATACGGAATTGTTCAGAAACCATGGGAAAGTAGAAATAAATCGTAACTAAAGAGTAAATAACGAAATAGTAAATGAGAGCGACTCATTTTGTTTTTTTGCTTTAAATTGCCAATTCATTATGACACCCCATAGAAAATCAATTTGATACAGAAACTGCGATTACTGTAGAACGATAATACAAAGAAATTTACAATAATTTAGTTACGTATCGCATTTTATGAAACAAAAATACATGAAAAAGCTAGGGTGGCAAACAGGTTTTTGTATGAAAGGTAAAAAAGGACTATTTTTAAAATATCTAAATATTTGGTAATAAGTAGGATTATAGCTATAATTCTTCGTTATCTTAAAGATTAATATTCATCCTTCAAAATTGTGTGTGTGTTTTTTTTGTGTGATGATTTATAAATATAAAACTTTTGAACTGTTTCAAAGCACACTTTTTTTTTTCAAAATGTACACTTTTTTTGAGAAATACTCTAATGTGTTTTCTTTGTTAGTACCTACTTAAACTTTAATTGCAGTACCAGGTACCTACTCGACTGCACCAGAAGGAGGGTTATGTTTTTTATACATAACGTTCGATAGGCATAAAACTACAATTATAACTTAAAGAATTGAAGAGAACCTTCGATTCCTTGACGCCTCACTCCCATGATCTTTTATTTCAGGGGTTTTTTACGCGCGTCTGTAACTATTTTATTGCAACCTACTTACGCACGCATTTGTTCAGATATTCTGGAAAAGGCTGACTGAAAACATTGTCGTAGAGGTACCTATATTTCAGATACACAAAATAGGTTAATCCCCTATCAAGATGCTTTGACTTGAATCTTACTAAACAGTTAAACACTCAGGGACTTTTTCCTAAAACAAGTCAGTCAGCACCACACCAGCAGCAGTATTCACCGCTTACAGTAAAGTAGGTAGGTAGTGAAATTAGTTACATAGTTAATTAAAAGAGTAAAATGAAGGGACTCCCCTATTTCCCCTACAATACGCGTGTTTTTTGGATGCAGTAAGAATAAAAAACTCACTATCTTCTATAACAAATTGGACGATAATAATTATTTATTTATTTATTATTTATTTATTTATTTATTTGAACACCAACAAGGTTACATTGAGGCTTCACAAAAGTAACTATAAAAAAATGACACTATGATATAATATACTATGATCATTACTAAAAAAAAAGTTAATTATAACTCGATCCTGAATGCCTCTCCCTCGCACACTTACCCGCGTTCGCCCCGGCCGGCCGTACGAGCGTCGATGTGACGTCACGGCCGCTAGGTTAGCGCAGTTAGCTCGACCGTGTTGTAAGTTACTGAGTTACAGCGTTGCCAGATTTTTTTTGGGCCAAGTCGGGACTTTAATACTTTTTGAGTGAAAATAGCGGGATTCTTCCGTCAAAAGCGGGACATAGTAAAAAAACGTATACAATGAAAGGTTTTCAAATATTTATCTTTTTATTTGATTTAAAATTACGTTTACTAGACAATAGATAGCAAAAGTAGCCATAGAAAATGTATTTTAACAAAAAAATAATATTTTAAATCAGATTTACTCTATCGTTAAATTGGTCTTTAGAATAAAAAAAGAAAAAATAAACCAAAATCGAAATTAAAAAAAAAATCTTTAGAATAATATGGCGTTTCAAACAATAGTCTGGTGAAGTGAATGTCTCTCTCCGAAAAGCGGGACGGAGCCTGTCCCGCGCGGGACATATAAATTTTATTTAAAAATTGGGACGTCCCGCCAAAATCGGGACGTCTGGCAACGCTGCTGAGTTATCATTTAATTTATGGTTAGAGTTCTTGCAATAATTCGCGCTTTAGGTATGTAGTAGTTTAAAAGTATGGAAATCCAGACATACAAAACACAATAGGCATCAAACAAACGTTAGGTGATAGTGTCACAATAACAATAACAAGGATAAAATAATAATTTCAAATTGTACAATTATTGAATAAGTACCAATGATATTATATAAAAACAAAAATCATTGATAAGTACCCAATTGCAAACAATGCTGTTTCCTTCCTCATTCTATGTTCTTATTTTTTCTTAAAGGTTTTAAACCTTTGTTTGTCACCTGTCATCCGCTTTGCAATGGAGGGAAGTCGAACCTTAATTTCGAACTCCTCCTATGTTCTTCTGATTAATTTCGTTGCGGGTCCAATGACAGTTTAACTTTCCCCCGGGACAAACTTGACCTTCATTGGTTGGGTTTTTGTGGCGGTCAAGCTGTAGATCCTGGGTACACAGGAGTTGCAGTGGTGGGAACGAGAGGTGGGAATAGTCCCGTTTCCTCATTCTATGTGAAAACAACAGTAGGTAGGTAATTAGTAATTACATTCAAGTGATTATATTTTTATAGTTATCTATTATATAAAAGAAAGTCGTGTTAGTTACTCCACTTATAACTCAAGAACGACTGAACTGATTTAGCTGAAAATTGTCAGGGAGGTAGTTTAGAGCCAGGAGAAGGACAT